ACCTTGTTCTCCTTCACTAAAATATTTCCCAATCACCCCACGAAAAAACGCAAATAACATTGGTAACAATGGAAGAAACAGCTAACACCAGAAAGAATTGTTCTATGTTGCCATTTTTTCCACAAATGTTTGGATGATAGTAATAAAAACGACTCAACTTTTTCCTGCCATTTTAAGTATTTTTGTAATGGTGGAGTAGATGGTTAACAGCAGAAATGATTTATAGATAGATAAACTCACTAGGAGGAGACGACAAGTTACATTTATTTCACCTTGGTATTTCATGTATACGTGTTTTAGGAAGCAAGGCATAAATGATAGGGTAACGCCAACATATTGGTTAAAGCCACCGTGGCTGGTGTTTTGGTTATTGGCGGTTGAAATAAATCACACAATAATTTTCCGTAGATTAGTATTACAAAGAAGTTATGTACACTTACAATGTATGAGAATCTCTAAAAGTTAACTTGGACTCGTAATCTTTTCAGTTGAATACCATAAGGATTTGCTCTGATTTAACACACTAGTCTGATTTTGGTTAAGCATTGTGAGTTGAATGACCATGTTGAGTTAGTGGTAACAGGGTCTGTTAGTCGAGCGTCTGCTCTCAGTTGTATCGTATTCCTGTCATGATCACACCCCGGCTAAAGGATAGAGGCTTTCGGAGGCCTCTTGTTTACAGTCAATAAGGCCACAACTGTCATCTAGTGTGTATGTTTACAAGCAGTAACTCAGCCATTTGATGAAGGTGTTTACCTCCAATAAGATTATTACTGACATGGAGGCGGGTGATGTGCTGACTCATAAATATTGAATTATTCCTTCAGACAGTCCCATGAGGTTTTTTCTTCAGAAATGTACCTCAATTATTTGTACAATTTAATATTAGGTGAAAGTACTCAGGGAGTGTCTAAAGTGTCATTTTAGCAGTTTAAACTTCAGCAAAACAAAGATTCCATAAACACATAGGAAGTTTTATCGAACTACTTTTTCTTTATACTGTATACAAATAATGAAAAAAAAATAATATCGACAAGGAGTAAGTGCTCATATCGTTTACAATTTTATATAATACAGTCTATTACCGATTAACTACCAGTCTTGTCCAGTAGGTAGAAACTGTACAGTTTGATGTTTAGTTACGTAGAAAGAGAATATTTTTGGTGTCAGAGAAGCGATTAGTTGTCTTGGTACTCGACACACATTTAGTTTTACAATTTTACGAAGAGTGGAAAAACGTCTCTCTCTCTCTCTCTCTCTCTCTCTCTCTCTCTCTCTCTCTCTCTCTCTCTCTCTCTCTCATTTTAACTATATCTTCCCTTATCCTGTCTTCTTTATTACGTTTATTTTTGAGTTGGAGAATATTTTTTTCGGTGTATCACTCGACTAAGTGCATATGGTATGATTTTCACAATGAATCAATGAGGTTATAGAGGAACGCATGAATAGATTATAACTAAAAAAAATTAGAAACTCGGTAATCCAGACTAACACTTACCCCGGAGCAGACTGTAGGATAGACCGTAGACAAGGACTGAGTTTAAAGTTTCCCCGATAGAAGAAATATCAAGAACTTAAGATTAACAAGAGCAACAAGGAAAATATTTGAAATTTATAGAATAAAATTTTTTTATGTCTAAACCTTATAATTAAGGATGAAAGGTCAATGGTAGAAAACTAACGGGCAAATTTGAGAGTAGATGGACCAGGGAAAGCGGAGGCTGAGATGGATGAATGAAATGAAAAGCTGTGTTCCCAGAGAGATGCAAAACCAGGAAAGATTGGTAAAGTCAGCCCGAAAACGTTTGTAGTGGAGGATCGTGGTCACCATCCCTCAGATATTTGGAAGACACTTTGACTGTTGGAATATGTCCATTGCTCCCCCCTCCTTCCATTTGCAGGTGCCGCGCGAAGCTCGTGACCCGAGGATATGAATTTCAAAAGAGGGGTGACTGCTTCGTTTGTTTGTGTGTGTTATAATTCTGCTTAATTTCTTGTTTGGGCAATAGCTCGTGTACTTTTTGAGCTAAGAAGCCGCAATGGAAACCTATTGAATGCGACAGAGAGCAGTGCCGGCCACGCTGCCGGCACTGCTCTCTGCCTCCGTGTGTACTGGGGGCATGCTACTCAGTATGCTGTTCCTGTATTTGAACTGCCTCTAACGTCCTTTGGGACCGGCGTTATGTCCTTCCTCGCGTTACTTATGTATGTTATCCTCGACGTTGTCAAGACCACATTACTCCCAGTAGGAGAACCACAACCAAACTTCTCCTTAACCTGGCATCTGCTGTACCTGGCTGGCTGAGTTACATGAACTGAACCTTACGTTATCTGGTCGAGTCATACGAGCTGGGCCTGGGAAGCCGTAAGAACTGTCCGTATGGGTCTTCCCAGGATGAACAGACGTGATGGTCACAGAAACTATGTAATGAAACTCTGTATAATCAAACACACATTAAGGTTTATGATATAGGCTTATTTTTCTCACTTGAGCTGTTTAGTGTTTCATACATAAATTCTAATATTTGTTTTTTGGAAAATTAAACCCAAATGAAAATTAGTAAACTATCAAATTAAACAGTTTTCATGTCCAATATCACCAATTGTGAGTACAAGAGTGACACCTACTACATTTAACATTACTGTACATTTGCAGTAAGCTAATATCAGAGTTAATAAAATTCGCTTTAGTTTAACTGGATAATTCTGGCGGATGAAGACGAAGCAAGATGTTTTATAATAATAACTATAGTGATATTAATAGCTGCCTCATCCTTTCAGCTGTAAGAATTATACAAGGATTCGGGTTTGTTAACATGCGATGGTCATCCTAAGAATAAACCGCTGCATCTCTACTACTTCACTGTGCACTCTCACTTTTCTTGGTCAGTCAGCCCAGTTAGTATGGTTTCTCTCTCTCAGCCGGGTGTGTGGGTGTGTCTGTGCCTACGAGTATTGTTCCCCGACAATCATATTTTAATGTATTTAACGTATTTCATATATGTAAATGTACTACTTATTGTTTATGTCTATTTCAAATTCGTTGGTATTTTTAAATCATCTTCAGAGATGAGACGAACAGAACCCCTAATGGTAGTATAGGTGGGTGGTACACACAGTGGAGGGGACGTAGCCTGCCATGTGAAGTGTGTTAGCGGTTAAAACTCCTGTGTTGGTATGTTGTTATAAGGCTCTGGCAACTCCGTAATGATGGAGACGTTTCGGTAAGTATTGGTGGTTTTGTTTAACTAGAGATTATGTGAGGATAATTGTTTCCCATTGCCCTTTATTGAGTACTTACCGGGTAACCCTTCCCCTCTTTCCTTGTTGAGTACAGTACTACCCCTCACTGTCCATGTTGAGTACTACCCCCTCCCCACCCTCTTTATGTAGTTAATAAAAGTGTTGCCCCTCTGTACGAGGAAGACCGACCCAAGGGCCACCTAGGCGTGAATTTGTTTAAGGTGTAGAAGCTGTCGCGCCCTGAGTTAACGAGTTGCATGACCCAGTGTCAAGGAATAGTTCGAGAAGACCAGACAACTCGCCAACTGCACTGGCTAACCATTACCCAGGAACACGATCCAAAAATCAATTAACATCCAGGTACCCAATTACTGCTTGGTAGATAGAGGCAAATGGCGTTAATAAACTTGGCCATAGTTTTACCCTGCCCAGGATTTGAACTCGGGACCATGATACATGATCTAATATTAACTTGCATAATGATTTATCAATTTCATATTTCATATCAAATCGAGTAAACGAACCAAAAAAATAATTAATTCATAGTTTTTTCTTCTGTGCCCTCATTCTCTTCTCGTGAGAAAAGGTGTTGGGTTTCCTGTCTCACTGCGCTTCAACTCTTGTCCTAGAATAACCCGTTGTATCAGCGTTACAGAAGGATATAACTGCATTGTATCCTGTGTTTGAGAGTTAATAATGTAAGTTTTACCTGAGAAAACAGTTGCCTTAGTCGTCAAAGACAGAGACAGTCGACTTGGAGGACAATAAACTCGGAGAGGAACTTCCAACTATAGGGGATGATCAGTTGTTTCAGCAGCAACACAATAGCCACCAGTGAAGGCCATATTTAACAACCCCTTAATAATGCAAACTAATGAGGAGCCGCCGGTCGTCCCCTTATATTTAAACAGCAGACACAGTGTTTTAAGGCATACCATGGTCAGCAATAATTGTGGGAGTACATTGTGACCTCTGATAGCTGGTACAGTAACTTAATAACTAAGGCAATCTTGATTTATATCTAGCAGACAGTCACGACCACCAACCATCATATTCAACCTGGCTCCCTCAGCACGTACGTGATACCGTTTTGATAACTTACTGTAATAGTTAAGTACCTCAACAATTAGGCTGCACGTGGTAGATGGATCCTCTCATAATCTCGTCACCCTGACACTATCAATTTCGTGACTATTTCCTCCTTATTTATTTAATTTACTAATTCATATTTAATTTATACTTTGTAAATATCTTCATTCTTTCATGTCAATATCCCAGGAAAATACAAGGGAGCCATCCGAGCCAGTAGAGAACCGGGTTATATAAACACTTTGGTAAAGCTGATTCACTTTACGAAGTTCATAAAAAATTAAGTAAGTAAATTCACATTTAAGACAAAATAACATTAACAAATACATACAATCGCTCCACAACTAACACGTAAACCTGAAAAAAGAAATCAAACTAATAACTTATATTAATTTCACTTTAGCAATGGGTCGAGTGAAATAGTGCTCGTCCTGTAACGTTGTGTTTTCATTCCTATTGTTTATTTAGGTTTTTGCAATACGACATTATGACTTCATGTGTAGTCCTTAAAGTGTGATGACTGGCCGTGTTGATCGTGCATAGTTTAACATAGCGCTCTGTGGTGGGAAATATACGTTGTATCTTGCTCATCAAAAATGTTCTCAAAGTCAAAGTTGTTCAAACACTGATAATTTATCACTAATAGTGTGGTGTGTCTGCCCACACAGGACGAGCCTTCCCGCGGAGCAGTTCCAAAGCAACGACTTCTCGCTTTGGTCTGTACTGAAGCAGTGCATCGGCAAAGAGCTGTCCAAGATCACCATGCCAGTGGTGTTCAACGAGCCGCTCTCCTTCCTGCAACGCATGGCCGAGTACATGGAGTATGCTTGGCTCTTGGAGAAGGCTGACCAGGCGCAGGACCCCATTGTTAGGATGCAGGTAAGCCCTTTATGTATTCATGCGGATATGTTACCTAAAAAAAATCCTCTTTAATTTGTATTGCGAGGGTTAATAATAATAATAAAAGTCTGTAATTGCACTGTTTCTCTAGTCATTCCGAATCCGTGCTCTCAATTACTGTTTTAGTTCTGTCATAGATCAGCGCTACCTAAAGGTCCAGTTACGTTGCCGTCCATGCTCGCAGGATTGTGTCCTCGAGAACTTGCTTGTATTCAGTTGTCGAAGAGGGATCGAAATAATTTGTTAATGTAGAGAGTGGACATTAATGAAATGCAGTTATTTTCCAGGCACCTTTTCTGTGGCCTTCTCCTGTTAGATATATTTTCCCTGAAGTCCTTCTTTTTAAGCTTGTCTAGAGAACTAACAAGACTATTTCTGTGGATTTTCTCCAAGTTATTTAGAGAACATTGAAGGTAATTAATTTTTCAGTTCTTTTGGAAGAGGACCGCTTATTTGCCCCGTTAATTCCAGTAGACATTTTGGTATTTTGCATTTTATGGAAGAAAACGGTGGCCGAGATGATACAACACTCGTCCTTGACCTCAGTGTCCCTCGGGCTAATTAACTCTGTATTTGGGGAGCTGAAGGCGGTCGAATGCAGTGCCAGGCAAACTGCTTCCTTATTTACTGAAAAAGGAAAATTGGCTTAATCTACTGTGGTCTGTATCCGCCTAATCCTAACTGGCCGTCAGGCCTCAGGGACCCAGTTTCACAAAGTATGTCATTCCGCCGTTTAGGAAGGTCCATCCTCTTTAGATCAGTCTTGTTAGTTTCTCTAGACAAGCTTAAAAAGAAGGACTTCAGGGAAAATATACCTTATAGGACAAGGCCACAGAAAAGGTGCCTGGGAAATAACTCCTCTGATAGTAAGAATCCGACTTTTGACCCATCCTCATTAGGATGGAGTTTCCTCCAATTCTGCCACAAATGATCCCTCTGTGCGTGACCTTACAAGGATATATCAAGAGAAAACTGTACGCGTCACAAGCCATGTTCCTTCATTGACTAAATATTTTGAAAATGGTAACACATTTGGAGACATGAAGTTCACGGAGACCACGTCATAGGCTAGCAGATTACGTCAAGGGGTGGCAGACCACGTCCTGGCCTGGCAGACCATATCATGGGCTGGCAGAACAGTTTGAAAATTACGAGTGATGTTAAAGACGCCAAAGGCTGGCTTGTCCAAGCTTCTCCATTAGCAAAATCTATTAAAATCTTACGAGTCGACGAGTGTCTCACAGACGGATTTACTTTACTTACAATTAATATTTGGCTCCATTTCTCGTGTGGTATAATGTTACATTACGCCTTACGTGTTGGGATATCGTAAGGTTTCTTTGCGTTGGGTGCCGAAGGAAACGTCCAAGAGCTCTCAGTAAAGTTGTTACGCTAATGCATCTTAACACCCCGACCTCTTATAGAATGCCAGACAGGGTAACTGTTTGAGATGTTTAGGAGAACTTTTCGATATTCCTCAGTCCCGCCCTCGAGGCCAGCAACCACCATCAATCGGGTCTTTTAGACAGCGCTTCACATAACACCGTTTGATACAGATACTACAGCTGAAGATGAAGTTCGGCGTGGTTGTAAATTTATGGCTTTATTATTGACGTGGCTGGTACAGAAAAGTGGTTGTAGGCGGCAACTGTAAGTTGTAGATGCTGCCAGAATACAGATGTGAAATTTAAAAATATACATTTATTTCAAAACTACAAGTCGTGTATTATCCCTTACAATGTTTCCTTGGCCCAACAGCCCACGGGTCCTCCCCCATCAGTAAACAAACTCTAGACTCTCAGCATTCCATCCCTCCCTCTCGTAATATTCTGCTTCAGTGGTTCTGAGTAATACCAATAATATATTTTTAGGTTTTCCCAATACTGCCACCAATCTTGATTTTTTAAACCATTGACTTTGCCAACCACGACCATTTCTCATCACCAACATTTCATCTTCCTCGAGTTACCACCACCGATAACTCCCATCTACTTCCGCTACCTTGGACGAACATTAACCCCCTACAACCACCACTAACATGACTAACTAGCGTGTATTACCTGTACAGTACGTGACGGCCTTTGCTGTGAGCGGCCTGGCGTCCAACTGGGAGCGTGTGGGGAAGCCCTTCAACCCCCTCTTGGGCGAGACTTACGAGCTGCAGCGAGACAATTACAGGTAATCTTTATCCCGTTTTCCTTTCTTCTCGTTTTCATGTTCAACGTTTTAGTCCTTGTTATATATTAATTTATCTTATTAACATTTTTAATACAGCATTACGTAAGTGGGCAACATAGTCCATGTACACTTGAATGAATCATAAGACGTGTGTAGTTTTGTTCACTGTGATGCTCATTAACACTCACCCATTTAGGTATATCTCCAACGTTTAATATAGCAATAATCCTCGTGACCTGCGAATGTTATCTACATAAGTCAGACACATCCGGATATATATCTTTGTACAGTAAGACGATGCAGTTCGCCAATCCGTATTCTTGACCAGAAACTCTTTAGGAGAGAAAAATCGTACTATCGTAATCTAACCTAATAGTAATCTACCTTATGTTTGGATTATATGTTTTGTAATTTCTTGCTTTAGCTGTTTAAACTGTCAAGAGTTATTCCATCATTAGATATATTCTTTATGATTCAACTCTGAAAGGAAAGCATTCATAGCAACAGGTATTAAAGATGATGGAACAACAGCAAAAAAAACAAGTCGCATTAGGGTTTGGTGAAATGTGAGATTATCATGGACTAACACATCATCGTCACAGTTGCCAGTAAGTCATGGCAGCTTTGTCAACATTATTAATCTAGCAAATGCAGGTAACTGGTCTGAGTGTCTCCTATATTATTCAATGCGTGTATATTTTACGAGTGACAGAAGTGGCAGTTACCCCAGTAGTTTTGTTATTTATGTTAAAAGTAAACACTGAGTCAACTCATTTTGATTTCAAAAGGTTAGGATTAAGATAACTTGCATTATAGCAGTGTTTGTCTCTGACTGTAGCGATATAAGCTTCTTACCTCGGTGTGAGGCCTTCCATTGCCATCTCTTTTATAATGATTTCTGACTAAGTAGTTCTGTGAAAACCGTTTCCTGGAACATTTATCGGCCATTTGAATCTCATCTAATTAAGCCGTTTTGCTCAGCGTTGGTATAAAGTGCAACACCATGACGAGAAGAAATGTTGTAGTTTATGATAAAGTCTGGGATATAACTGTACTGTATATTATGTTGTAAGTGTTCAATATCAGGGCTAAATTTAGTTTTAGAGAAACAGAGAACTTAAAAATTTTGTCAATAGGAGTCAGTCGCTGATCAGTGAAAACTCATAAATGCGAAGGGTCACTGCCAGCAGTGTACCTCATGTGTATAGGCAGGTGGTCAGAAGTGCCGAGGAAATGATACTTACAATTTAGGTTTTACGGAAAGTTTTGCAAGAAGTTATCGGGATTATCGTCTGAGAGGTCTATACAATTATCATAGATAACAGGGTTGAAGCACGTACGACTGAAAAAATCTTGTGAAGTCACTGCATATTTTTCAGAGTAACGTAATTGATTATGATAACAAGCGTTAAAAACAAGTCGGGGTCACTTATACGGGGAAAAAGGCGGACAGTGTGTAATACAGCCTATACAAACTGTTGGTCTTTTACTTTTCTTTGATAACATGGTCAACATACGTTTGAATTGGCTGGTTTTCAAATTTGTTATCCATGGCAAACGACTCATCACTGTTGCAGATGGAAGTTGATGTAGCGTTTGGTCACAGGTGGGCTATGGGACATGTCCTGGGTAAGTGAGAGGCCAGCTGGTGGACGGTGAGGCTCTGCTACCTCTCTCATTGCCACTTGCTCAAAACTCCTCGGAGGCCAGGGTTCTATAATTGAAAAAGACTAGTTTCTCTTATCTTCTGGTTACATGATACTTATCCAACTGCTGTCAGTTGGCGTCAACGATACCTGGGTACAGATCCTCGCTGCCGTAGACTTTAGTAGCTTTTAGCTTCTTACGCTTGTTAAATCTCCTCTCCATCCGAGATGCAGGAGAATTTTGCGACAATATCCCGTAGGTGTTGGCTGGAGGATCTTCCCACGTGGTGCTTCGGTCTTCTTTAGGTACACATATATTGAAGTTCGTGTGTTGGAGGTAAGTGAAGTTATCTCGTCACTTTTGCCAATTTTCTCCTCTTTTTTCTGTATTCCAACAAACCTCACACTCTGAAAATGGACTTGTTTATTTTCTTTATACTGTACTGAAATCGAATAAGAAAATTAGTGAGCAATCCAGTTCCTTCCCTGACAAATAAATTCGACTAATATAAACCCAATCAGGATGTATTGGGCAGCCACAGCCACTTAGAAGACACTGCACCAACGTAAATAACTTATCTCACTTTGGAATAGCCCACGTGGGGAAACTCGACTCTGGTAAATTCAGCCAAGTGAACATCTGGAAGCGTAATCAGGTTCAGTCTATGAAGTAAACCCAGCCTGCCATACCCAACCACGTAAATTCACATCGGGGAAATCATATCAATTAGCCGCCTCGATAAACACTCATCTCTTTATACCTATTCCACCAGCCTCACCCTGTCAGATCCACTTGCCAGATCAGACCCAAAACACCACACCCACTCTGTCAAATCAGACCCAACCTGCCAGACCCACCTTGATAAACTCAATCCACCAGACACACGCCCATCAGACCCACTTCTCAGATCTGTCCCATCGAACCCACTTGACCAGACCCAAACTAGCCAACAAATCCACAGCAACAAACAGACCCCATCAAGCACACGCCAACAAACCCACACCAACTAACCCACACCATCTAACCCACACAAACTAACCCACGCCAACAAACTCACGCCAACAAACTCACGCCAACACACACACACCAACAAACCCACACCAACTAACCCCCACAAACTAACTCACGCCAACAAACTCACGCCAACAAACTCACGCCAACAAACCCACACTAACAAACCCACGCCAACAAACCCATCCCAACACCCACACCAACAAACCCACACCAACAAACCCACACTAACAAACCCACACCAACAAACCCACACCAACAAACCCACACCAACAAACCCATCCCAACATCTACACCAATAAACCCACACCAACAAACCCACACCAACAAACCCATCCCAACATCTACACCAATAAACCCACACCAACAAACCCATCCCAACATCTACACCAATAAACCCACACCAACAAACCCACGTCAAGGAACCCACACCAGCGTCGACAAACTTTGCTTGATAGATCTACTCTGGCAATCTGGAGCCATCATCCGCCATACCAAGGACACGTCTTATTTTTTAAAGCGGAAGAAAATTTTTGAGTCTCTCCTAAATTGGTTTCTCGACTCCCGCTGCCAACAATTTCTTTTATTATTTTTTTCTAGCTTTCCTTTGCTTTCTCTCTCTCTTTTCTTTCTTTAATTAATTCTGTCTATCACTTCCCATCTATTTTTCTTATTTTATTCCATTCGGGTTCTTATTTTTCTCTTTTGTGTTACTTTCGTTTCATTTCACTATTTCTTCTTTCTATCCTGTAATCTTTTCTTGTTTATATTCATTCGTTTTCCCTCTTTCAATTTTCTTTTACCTTCTTCCTTCAAGACTCGACTCCTCCCCCCCTCCCCACCATACACACCCCTTTATCGTTCTTCACGGAAATGAGTATCAATATAGTAAAATTTACCTCTGGTTGGTTTAAGACGTCATTTATCATCACAACTTATACCTAGATTAGTTTAGGTAAAGTAAAGTAAGGTTACGTATGATGGTCAGTCAGTCAGAAGTTTCCAAAAGTAATTCCATAAAAGATGTTGCTTTTTCAGTCATTCATATTTAAAGTAACAAATGTGTATATTTTCTTATTTTTTAAATGGATAAAATAGTAAATGGAAGTTGAATATGGGGCGGTAGTGTTGCGGCCACCTCTCTCACCTGCAGCACCTTGGCGGGGATTTAATGTTTTTTTTATTTCAAAGTAATGAAGTTATTTTTCTTATACTTCATAATATTTTATTTGGTCACGTTTGTTATTATCCTGTTTACTTACATAACTCCCTACTACCTTCTTACCTATATTCTTTACCTCTTCTAATTCTTTACCTGAAATTGTCCCAAAGGCCTGACGGTCCGCCAGAGGCAGTGTGGACACTGAATACTAAGCTTTCGGTACACAAGGAGGCAGTGTGGCCAACCCTACAACAATAGTTATTATTTTTCCAAGGGTAAAGTTAGTTGCCCATTCACAGCTGGGAGGACTAGCGAATCAGTGACCATTAGGATATGAGGAGAACCACTGTATCACTCGATCGCCAAACCCATTCTCTGCTTAGGTACTTACTGAGCTCCCACCCAACCATAGTAAACATATACTGCATATATCAACCAACCAGTGGTGTAGGTTTCAGCTATAAGTATTGTTATCACTATATTATATCGAACTAATATAGCGCTGTGTTATTATCTTGAGTCTAAGGTGTCTTTGCTATATTAGCCGGAGTCTTCCATCCTCATACAATATGCTTTCTTAATACTTTGTTATTAGTTGGCCTCCTGCCTTCTCCTTGGGTCGTGTCAGTATACTCATCAATAGGCTGTATCTTATTCTCATCTAGTTTATTGTACTTATTCTTGATGCGACAAAGGTATTATTTTGATTTAGAGGATGTTGTCTTAGTTAAGTTTTGAGCTGTAATGAATATTTGTCTCCTTGTTTCTTTTAAGTCTTCATGTCATTATCTTTCATTATGTTTGTTATCAGTATGTCCTTCTCTCTCTTGCTCATCCTCCTCATTCACAGTACATAATAGTTGGCTCTAGTTCGTGCCTCATGGTGAGTTTCTGCTGTTTTCTTGTTACTGCGTCTGTCTGTGTTTCTTGTTTTATGTGAAGTATCACCGTAACTCTTGGAATCTCTCATAGTAGTTACGTCACTATTGTACTTCATTTGACTTTTATGGTAACACTTGAAACGTAATTGTACTCTATGGGAACACTTCTATCATCATTATACTCTATAAGTACACTTTCATCACAATTATACTGTATAGAAACACTTTTATCATTATCAGAATTTTGGTGCAGTACTTGCGTCACACTTAAAAGCTTGATGTCATACGTTTATGCCAGTTGTATTCTTGTTACACTTCCATCAGTCATAGTCTTTATCACATTATGATCTTTACGAATTACTCTCTCAATAACAGCTTCATTTCGCGTATACTCTAACTTTCAAGATGACTTTGTGAATTGTAAGACAGTTAGGAATAGTGCAGAGCCAGGTTTCACTGTGGTCCCCCCTCCCTCCCACATATACTGATTCATCAACACCTACGGTTAGTTTATCTTAAAATACCTGGTTAGAAAACTACGACCGCTTAAGAGAACTTGTACAACCATTTTTTCATCATCGTAAGTTTTAGAAGAAAAAAAAATTGCACACTAAATCACTAGAGGGTTAATTAAAGTAAGATGGGTCTCACTTAAAAATGAGACATAAATTTTCCTGATGTAAATATTGAAGGGGATGTATGAACAACAACCGTGCCTACGTCACACGTATACTGGCCACCTAATATTGGGAATTTACCTCAGAGATTTACCGATCAAAAGACAGGAGGGTTCGATAGGTGTGTACTAAGATAGCTGTAAAGGGTTGTTGTCAATCAAACTAAGAGGTCAGCGATACTCCACCACCAGAAGAAATGTAGGAATTATGTGACCATTAACATGGTATAATGCAGATGTGTAGCCGTTAAAAGAGGACAGTATCTACCATGAATGTAATCCATGTGACCATGGTCTGAACTGGGTCCGGCTACCATGAACTTGGCAAAGGGCAAACTGAAGACAACTTTTAAAATTCTAATTAAACAAGAAGAGTATAAAGATACGTACAATAACATTAAGGAAGAGTTAAATCAGGATTTTACTGAAAATTTTTGGATTGCGTTTAATTGTAGTGCAAAGCCATATCCTGTCTCCACTATCCCTAATGACGGCTTACAGCTAAAGTTATGTGTATTGTAGCGTTCCCCCTAAATCAGTTATCTGGTGTTGATATCAGCAAAATATTTTCGAGAATTGGGGTGCGTCCCGAGGTTCAAGATTACACAGATTTTTTGTGGCCTCATGATCCCCCTCATTCCAATAGTGTACAGTATAGACAAGCTTCTATTCGGTACAACAGGCTCAGTTATACTCTTACAATCCACCTGAATTCACCACTCAAGATAACTATGAAGATGTCAGGTGAGCTGACAAACTCCAAACGTCGTTGTATATGCATAACCTTCAAGGTACCACTGACATAACCCGAAAATCTAAAGCAGTTTTATTAAACACTGAACTAATACTGGGAAAAACCGACATGGCGCTCCAAAAGTGGGTAACGATTTCTTCTCAGCTTAATGAAGTAATTACTTAAGATAATTCTAGTTCTAACTCAATAGAACTCGATGGTTTCATACATTCTAGTCTTGCCATTTGAGTAGCACCTTGGGAACATATATAACTCGCTAGATGGGCATTGTTTGATAGTGCCAGGAAAGTCTGCCAAGTGTTCAGGAAGTTCTGTCTGCAACTGTACCAACACAAACAGTTGTGCGTATTGTACAGGTTTTCGTACCAGCAAATGCAATTGGTTCTCACTTACTAGCAAGTACAGCTGTACGCCCAGTGTACTGATAGGTACAGTTACATGTCTCCATGCACCACCAATTACAATTATAGTTCCCACGTATCTGTACCAGTAGGTACAGATATACATCTTCACGTGCCAGCAAGCGCAACTATATGTCTCCACGTATCAACAGGTACAGCCCCTTAGTTGTTCGTTTACTAGCGGGTTGATGATTCACTGATCTGTCAATATATAATAGCTAGTAGAGAAAGATTCTAGCATCCAGTGACAGGATTTTCAAAACCAAAACGTCTATAATGGCGTCCATAAGATTCATAATTGTGTCATAATTATCTTACTGTCTATCTCGGCTTCTCACACACTTATCGTGGGACACTCATTGTTTGTCACAAAATTTAAATATTTTACCCACGTGATCATTTAACACAATTTAAGAATTTTTCCTTTCACTTACATAATAAATTTTTTAGCGTTTTGCAAATTGGGTTATTACCTGTCTGCTATACAGGTCCGTAATTCATGTGCTGGCATGGGGGGGGGGGCATAATCGTAAGTACTAGCCTTGGGAAAATACAGTTTCACGTGTTGGTATATACACGGGGATGTACTGTACTGCTGTATGTGTTTAAAAAAAAAGAAGTGTTTAAAGACTATTTTGTGTACTGTATATTAAACGCATGTGTGAAAATGTGTAAGTGTACTCTGTGGTAGGGGAGGCTGGTGTACATAACACAAAGGATTACCAGCAGAACCAAACCTCGCCCACTCTGGAAAACTTAAAGTTGTGTGGCTGCTCCTGCCCCAGATGACGTCGCGCCAGGGTAGCCTCCACCCCACCCATAATGCTACGAGAAGCTAGAGAAGGTTTCACCCAGCTGAGGTAGCCTGCACACTATTCTACCTGGAGTAGTAGTGGTTAATTCCATCCAGTGACTGGGAAGGTGATATAAGGGAGCCTCCGCCGACATCTACTACTTGGGTGGTGCTAGAGGAGCCTGTTTCGTTCCCTCTGGGTAGACAGAGCCAACACCACTCACACCGTTGGAAGGGAGTTGAGGGAGTCTTCACCTCTCTAACATTGTTGGAGTAATAATGCTATAGTATTCATTAGGACAAATGGTAGTAGGGTGGCAAAGGAAACACAGGGCTATTCCTTTGATAAAATCCTTCATGACGAAACGTCAGGAGTAAAGTTGTCTCTCTGGCCTTGTGTTCCTTTGTTACCATATGACTATTGATAAAACTAATAAAAGTTACAGTTTAATATATATAAATATCGCATTTCTCCTTGATCTTGTATAGTTGCAAACAAAATTCCCTGGACACTAGGCAGTATCTGACATGTAAGTTCTTGTGGATCAATAGGTGAGGGGGTTGGGACTTTAACGTATTATCGCAGATATTTCTTTGTACTGTATTATTATTTTTTTTAATTTTGTGGTTTCAACATAATATGTGATGAAAAGCAGCGTTATAAGATATAGAACAATCAAATATATGACCCAGAAGTAGATGCCAGATATTGCCAAGTGTACAGAGAATTTTGTCCGCAGCTGCACATACAAAATTGTGGAGATAGGCTCTCAACAAGCTCTGTGGAGAATCTACATGCTATATCCTGCTATTCTTGGCACGGTTTAGATAAGTAAATCTTTAAAGTGACATTTGGCCTCGTACAATACCAAGACAATCCCTTATATATTACCTAGAATAAGTATTATGGTTGGCAAGATATAATGGGGAAGACAAATGAAGGCAGAAAACTACTGCTTCCTAAGTAATGTTTATATATCTTCTTGTAACTCGTCTTGCCAGAAGCCTGACTATTTTTATTAATACATAAATTCTTTGCTCCTACATATACCCTCCTAAATCCCTACCACATTCGGCCCTGTCTCCTTTTCTTTTGTCTTGACCACTCCCTCCCCCTCGCCCTACACACCAGCTGTTATTTACACATCGACCAATGTGAGTTACCTTGCACCGATGAACTTGGTGCGAACGTACAGTACCTTGAACCAATGGAAAAGAAGTTTCCTGTTGATATAAAAGTTACTAGGTTAATAAAAGGTTGGATCTGATCATTTTGTATGTCAGTCCTGTTGGTGTTACTATCAACTAACCCCTCTTTTAACTCACTCTTTCTGCTCTCCATACTCTTCCTCTCTGTTTATTTCCTTGTCTTCCATTCTCTCTCTGGCCTTTGTCGTTTCTCCTGCTACGTGGCCTTATTGTATCTTTTCCCCAACAGGATAGTGTGCGAGCAGGTCTCCCACCACCCGCCCGTCTCCGCATTCTACGCCGACTCCGAGCACTGGAACTTCCACGGTTCTATCCATCCCAAGCTTAAGTTCTGGGGCAAGAGCGTTGAGATACAGCCCAAAGGCATACTCACGGTGGAGCTGCCCAAGTGAGTCCTTCCGGTGAATTGGGAAAAGGGGAAGAGAGAGCGTGTAATGAACGTGAAGGAGTGAGTGTAACACTGTGACGTCATACAGGTTTTTAACGAAGAGGCGAAGATTTGACATTGAAAACTGAGGATTCAAGGAGTTGTTCTGTTATGGTTAGGGATATTAGAATGAGGCTGGTGGTTTACAGTGTTGGTAGGAGTGGGAGGAGGGGTAGAGACGCCCTCCCAGCCACCCACTTGCTACATTACTCAGGTTTACAGTGTTAATAGGTAAATGGCGGTTTCCCGTTTGTGTATTTTGCTGATGTTCTGTTGGTTGTTGGTGAAGGGTGTTTGTTGGTGAATGGTGAGATTAAAGCTTTACAGTGTTGGTAAACGTCTAATAAGAGGGTTGGTGGTACAGATGGTTGGTGGTACAGATGGTTGGTGGTACAGATGGTTGGTGGTACGGATGGTTGGTGGTACGGATGGTTGGTGGTACAGATGGTTGGTGGTACAGATGGTTGGTGGAATGGTTAAGGTGGTACGGATGGTTGGTGGTACAGATGGTTAGTGCTGGTACGGCGGATGGTTAATTAGGTACAGATGGTTGGTGGTACAGATGGTTGGTGGTACAGATGGTTGGTGGTACGGATGGTTGGTGGTACGGATGGTTGGTGGTACAGATGGTTGGTGGTACAGATGGTTGGTGGTACGGATGGTTGGTTGGTGGTACGGATGGTTGGTGAACGGATGGTTGGTGGTACAGATGGTTGGTGGTACAGATGGTTGGTGGTACGGATGGTTGGTGGTACAGATGGTTGGTGATACAGATGGTTGGTGGTACGGATGGTTGGTGGTACAGATGGTTGGTGGTACAGATGGTTGGTGGTACAGATGGTTGGTGGTACAGATGGTTGGTGGTACGGATGGTTGGTGGTACGGATGGTTGGTGGTACAGATGGTTGGTGGTACAGATGGTTGGTGGTACGGATGGTTGGTGGTACGGATGGTTGGTGGTACAGATGGTTGGTGGTACAGATGGTTGGTGGTACAGATGGTTGGTGGTACAGATGGTTGGTGGTACAGATGGTTGGTGGTACAGATGGTTGGTGGTACAGATGGTTGGTGGTACAGATGGTTGGTGGTACGGATGGTTGGTGGTACAGATGGTTGGTGGTACAGATGGTTGGTGGTACAGATGGTTGGTGGTACAGATGGTTGGTGGTACAGATGGTTGGTGGTACAGATGGTTGGTGGTACAGATGGTTGGTGGTACAGATGGTTGGTGGTACAGATGGTTGACGGTACAGATGATTGGTGGTACAGATGCACACTCAGGTGGTGATACATCGTACTTGGCCACTTCTGGGCGAGCAACTGAGGATTATTAACTATGCTGCCCCTCTTCCACTACCTCTACCTGTACTCTTCTTCCTATGTTTACGTCAATATATGTATCTCCCCTTCTTTTTCTTCTCCATATCTCCATCTACATTTCTCCCTCCCTCCTCCCCCATTTCTCTTCTGCGTCACCCTCCTGTTCTTCCTTCGCCTTTCTCTGCCTACTGGTGCATGCGAATAATGGATGTGACTAACCCCGCATGTCCTTGGCAGCCACGGTGAAGCCTACACGTGGAGTAACGTCAACTGCTGCGTCCACAACATCATCGTAGGCAAGCTGTGGATCGAGCAGTACGGCTCAATGGAGATCACTAACCATGCCACAGGTACGACTCCCCCACGTAATAAGTGACTGCTTCATCCAAGTCAAAGGTGCGCTTTCACCATGTACATTTAAGATAGACTAACTACAGTAAAGGTACACCCAACCATTCAAAGGTACAAACAAGCTGGCTGTGTTACTGATACACTCCAGCTGTGCCAGGGCCATACTTGTACATTACAGCCATCCACTAATTATGCCAAAAGTATAGCATAATAGTTCAAAAGGTCTCGATTGACAAATGTTAAGGTCACTGGGGTGGAAGAGATGGTCCAATTATCTGATCCCTATAGAAATTTGGATCTAATCTCATTAGGCTTCCTTTTTAAGGATTCGTCGAGGTCATTGTTTATTCCGTCAAAATTCATGATTTAGAGCTTCACTTACAGGAAAGGATCACCACAGCCATTGCACCTGTTACTCCAGACATGCAGAGCTGAGTATGAACATTAAGTGATTATGCCTGGATAATTGTCGAGCGTCAAACGGCGCCCACAGGGAAGTCTGAAAATTATTACACACACACACACAAAGGTTATGGGTACCACTAGGAGTTGGTTTTGAATTTAACTTTCCATACATATCTTTTATCTGTAACCCTTTCTGTACGGTGTCCCCTCAGTACTGAAAAAATCGTCTGGTGTTAACCAAATAGATTATTAAAATTGGCGTCCCCGTAGTGATTGGGTTAAGTGTTTTTGTCGTATTTTTTTAATTATGTTGAGGCTTTTATTTATGGTTTGTTGGTCATAGGTATTGGTGATCACCACTTACTGAGTTCATCTTTACATCATGCTTGATGCTTTCTCTGTCTCTCTCCCCTGCTGCTGTCCTGCTGACGTTACCAACGATGATGACACCCCTGCCCACGGCTCCTATCTCTACTTCATCGCCGCAAACGTCTTCATTACCCACATCATCGTTACCCATGTCTTTCGACCACTCTATCGTCGTCCAAACCCGTTCTGACTGCTAAATACATCCCCATTTCTAAAACTCAACGCAAATATCGCATTTTTGTCGAATGCAAACTTCTTTATCTTTGTGTAAACCCTCTTTTATCCTCTCATCCCTGGTCCCCTATTACTGAACCCTCGTATTCCCCTCTTCCTCATCCTCCTCCCTCTTCCAATCCTTATTCTCTCTCTCTCCATTCTCTACCATCGCCCTTAAATTCCTCCTCTCCCTCTTCCCTTGTCTTCCCTTCACTACTACTCCTCTTAAACAGGTCACAAAAGTGTCGTCACCTTTAAGACAGCCGGGTGGTTCTCCAAGGACCTCCATCGTATTGAAGGCTTCATCATAGACAGAAGGTAAGTTTGGAGTTTCTTAGTGTCTCAACTTGAGCAGGCTTAGTGAGGTCTGTCAGGCTGAGAACCTTACAGTCAATTAGCTGGAAGACAGGGTGAAAGATTTACTGGATAAACCGCCCAAACGGCTAGTAAGCTGATAAGTGGCGATAAGTGGCGAATATGAAAAAAAAGCTTATAACTCTTTTACATTAAGCTTTAGTGAATATATGTGATTTTAATGTTTATAATTAACCAGTATTATCTTTTAGCCCTGTGTTTAACTCTTCTCATTTCCATAAGTTTATTATTATTATTATTATTATTATTATTATTATTATTATTATTATTATTATTATTATTATCCCTAATCAGTAAGTAAACATATTAGCTCAGTCCACACTTTTTTCCCGTGATATTTTATGAATCAATGAATATATTTCATGTGACAAGACCTCACGATCCTCCAGGTCATAAGGATCTACTGTACTATATAATTCTTCATCTCTAATTCTTCTTCACTCAAGCTTTCTTCGTCTTCGGCAAAAATGCTCACAGTTAATCATCACCTTCACAGATGTAAGCTTCTGTGCAGTCACCTCAGAGCTCACCAACGAAGAATGATGATCGTCATACTCGATTCTGAGTGACAACAAAGTAGTAGTACAGGAGTATTAGTGTGTGTATGTGTGTGTGTGTGTGTGTGCATGCGGAAATTCAAACTTGTGGACCAAAAATCGTTTTAATTTATTCAAAATAAGCTGGGCCAGACCCTGGTACTAGCCTAGTATCAGTCTAATCTTCCCTGAACTTCACTCGCCTTCACTCATCCTCTAACTCAATTGTATAACACTTCACCGAGAGACAGTTAGGAGATTTACACAGACAAATATATATGGAAAAAGTACAATTGATGTGCACAGCTATAGAGAGACAGGTGGAAGAACTGAATGATGATGACATTAACAATATGAACATGTTCTCTGTTGTTAACTTTCTGTTTATACTCTTAACGTCTGGTATTTTTGGTGATGTCATAAACTGATGTCTACTGATCTGTAGAAAGCAAGCGATTAAGAATTTATCATATTACTGTATTCAAAGTCCCATATTTACTCTCCTTTAACACCTCCCCCCCCCCCACCTCTCCTTCTTGATCTTATTCATTAACTTCACTTTTTATCTCCAATGTTAAGAAGATTATTTATTCTCCCCCAGGAAAAAGAAGTTGTGTTTCCTGTACGGTAAATGGACGGATTTCCTGCGCGCTACAGATAACACCAGCTACGATGAATACATGAAGACTAACGCACACAAGTTCAGGTGAGTGTGTGTGCGTTGGGGGTGGGGGGGTATCACGGGTATCCCTCACTATTGTGTTCTAGGTTCAAATTCCCCTCCCGGACAGGTGTGAGAAGGGTGTTGTCCAGTGTGACTTAATTTAATTTCACAGGTTTTCTCCGGGTACTCTAGTGCCGTCCTGTACTAACACAGGAAAATGAAGGACAAACTTCAAAAACAAAGGGGGAAGTTAATTAAACCAGCGGCTTCCTTTCCCCGTCAAAGCGGTAATTTAAGATAGGAAAAAATATGTATGTGGTGTGTGTGTGTGTGTGTGTGTGTGGTATGGAATGTGTACATGAATGTGTGTGTGTGTGTGGGGGGGTATTGAATGTGAACATGAGTGTGTGTGTGTATTTAGTCTTGATGTGTGTATAAGCCCACCATTGTGTTGGTGTGTATGGTTCAGGTGTGTGTAATTCAAGGAGTTTCTCTTCAGTATGTTTATTCTTGGTGAAGGTGTTCACAAGGTCTAGGACAGGTGCTTGCGTATTCTTATGTGAGTACAGTATACCTGTGTGTATGTGGTCGAGGTTAAAGACATATCTTTATCTTACGTGTGTGATGTTTAGTCTTTAGAAATGATGAAATGCTTCTTTCTATTTATGTACAAAAACAGTTCCCAATGAAACAATTACAGTATATGACTGTAATTTTATACAAATGAAGTACTGTATACACATTGCCTCGCTCTCTCCACACACGTTGTATTCCTCTCACTCATTACCGACTTACACATCATTTTACGTATATTCACTATTTCATGGACACATTCTCCTATATACAAACTTTGTCCAATAGATTTATATAATTTTGTAACGCTATTATTCTGTGCACACATTCTATGAACACACACACTGTCGTGGACAGACGACTCTCGGCGCTCCCTATGGAGCAGCCGGGTCAACATGGGACACCCCAACCCTCCCCCCTTCCCCCCACTAAGAAACCAATACAAGGATTGTTTAATCACAAGTGTCAATTTCAATTACCAAAAGAGAGGAAAACAATAACAGTGAATGAACATGGTGCTGAGACAGTGAGGTGGACAGTGGAAACTCTGGCTGTTATCAAGTCAATGTTTACAATACCAGAGGGGAGGTACCAACTGTACCGACCGTGGGAACCAACCAGTGTGGCGGCTTACAACCACGTGTTCCCCACCATGATGCCATCAGTGTGGCGACCTACAACCACGTGTTCCCTCCTATGATACCATCAGTGTGGTGGCCTACAACCACGTGTTCCCCACCATGATGGCATCAGTGTGGCGACCTACAACCACGTGTTCCTCCCTATGATACCATCAGTGTGGTGGCCTACAACCACGTGTTCCCCACCATGATGCCATCAGTGTGGCGACCTACAACCACGTGTTCCCCTATGATACCATCAGTGTGGCGACCTACAACCACGTGTTCCCCACCATGATGCCATCAGTGTGGCGACCTACAACCACATTACCATCAGTGTGGCGACCTCCCCCTATGATACCATCAGTGTGGCGACCTACAACCACGTGTTCCCCTATGATACCATCAGTGTGGCGACCTACAACCGTGTTCCCCACCATGATACCATCAGTGTGGCGACCTACAACCACGTGTTCCCCCCTATGATACCATCAGTGTGGTGGCCTACAACCACGTGTTCCCCTCCTACGATACTGTAATGGACGTCTCCCCTACAACTGCGTAGCCACAGCCACCACCTGCTACCGCCTTCCCTAGCAACCAACCAGATGTTACCGTATCTTAGCAACGGAACCAGGAACCGGCGACTTTCTCGGGTTTTCCCAACATGACTCATAGAGGACTCACGGCTGCTGGGTATATAAGCTCTGTCTCTCCATTGAGATTCATTCTAGCCTCTCTTCTACAACAAGCAACACCTCCTCCTCCGCCGCTGCCTGGCGGCCTTCGCTTCTCCTCGCCTGCCTGGCGGTCCACGCTCCCGCCAGCGAGCATGGCGACCCACCAGCTGTCCTTCTCTGAGCTTCCTCACCAACCAACTCTCATTCTGCCCATCTTCCTGAACAAGCAACACCTCCTCCAGCAAGCTCCACGCTGTCAGCATTCATTCAACCAGGAGGCCAGCAACAGGCAACATCTTCTCTAACGAAGCTCCTGCACATCTACCTCCTACAACACGCTACTCACCGAACGTCTCTACTGAGCAGCTTCCCTCACCACACGGCACCTCCAGCTCCAGACTGTCTATCATATAACTTATATTATACAAGAAAACCACCTTAGAGTTTCCATCCATCCTGAGTGCTAGACAACATTAATATCTCGATACCCCTACGATACCATCAGTGAGGCGGCCTACAACCACGTGTTCCCCCTACGATACCATCATTGTGGCGACCTACAACCACGTGTCCCCCCTACGATACCATCAGTGTGGCGGCCTACAACCACGTGTTCCCCCTACGATACCATCATTGTGGCGACCTACAACCACGTGTTCCCCCTACGATACCATCAGTGTGGCGGCCTACAACCACGTGTTTACTCTAGCAGTGATTCATACCTAATACTGCAAGTCATTATTTTGTCCATTGTATATTTTAAACCCCTGGCTGCTGTACTTTTCAATAAACCGTTATTTATTGTCATTATTATTATTTTTGTTGTTATCATTATTATTAGTATTTTATTATTATTATTACACTCCGTTGATCAAACACAAATATTATATAAGATGTGTAATCCCTCGGTCCACACACACACATACAGTATAGATACTGTAATGTTGTTCACACACATACACACACCATGATACCCAACGCCAAGGGGAAAATATTAACGTGTGATTATTTGAGAATGTAAAGTTCAGGCATGTGATCACCATATGTAATGTCTCTCATAAGTTTATGTTGTTGTTTCTTGTAACCTTTTCCATATAAGTTGGAGAGTTGTTTACTGTTTACTTTACTTTTATCCTCTTCATCACTGATCGGCTCGTTAGCCGCTTGGGCGATCAGTCACATCTGTTACGCACTGTTGACAAGTACTTTTCTTTTATCCTCTTCACCAATTGATCGGCTCGTTAGCCGCTCTTGTTTTTTCAAATTTATGTTAGCAGATTCTAAGCGCTTCTGCTAAAAATTTTCATTTCTCAATGGTATTTCTTGCTACATTTAATTTATCTCGTCTCTCTTGCATCACTCCACGATTTTCATCTTACATCTGTAAGTCATCTTGTATAATGTCTAACAACAACCCTTTCCTCTCATTCTATAATTCATCTGAACTATGTTTCGATACCTCTTAAAAAATTTCTGGTATCATGTTACACCTTGCTTAAAAAGTGGTTTAATTTTACTTCTTACTCCGCCATTATCTTCTTATCCCTCCTCTTAACTCATTGCTGGCTTCTCCTACTCCCCGTTTCACCCCTTGCTCCATAGCCTACAGTCTCATTTACTCTCACCCGCAGACGGAGCGACAAGAAGAAGAGTGAGGATGGCTCGGCGGGGGCCAGCCCGGCCCACACTCCCAGGAAAGTCTTTAAGAAGCTCAACACCATCACCTCCTCCTTCAGGATGAGTAGCGACACCGAGGTAAATGAAAGGCCCCGTTGCTGAGAGAAACTGTACATGGATGTTAGTGAAGGAGTTTAAAAGGACCTGGATGTTGGCTATATACCGTATTTTGAGGGATTTGGACCTTTCTGATGAAAGCCGAGGGACCTGCATTTTCAGGAGTGTAGCTTTGAGATAACTTGATTTGTGTTAGAGGTGAGGGCTTTAGTGAATGGAAGATGAGGTCCCTCGCCGTTTGTGAGGGAACCTGAGGGACCCTGGTGTTTGTGAAACAAGCTGAGGACCCTGATGTAGGTAAATGAAGGTGAGAGACCTTTGTATTGTTATGAACCTTGAAGTTGGTGAGGGAAGTTGAGAAAGACCTTGACGTTGGTGAGGGAACTGAGAGACCTTTATGTTGGTGAGGAAAGTTGAGAAAGACCTTGGTGTTGGTGAGGGAAGTTGAGAAAGACCTTGTTGTTTTGAGAGATAAAGAATAATCTCGTGCTTTTGACAATGAAAATTTTATAAGAGATGGGGTGCGAGAGACACTTGAAATCTGTAGACTAATATTATCGGTTGTAATTTAAGATTTATTTGCAGGCTGAAACAATAGTTAGAAATCATGTGACAAAAATATATCAACTATACTATTTCAGACTTTCATGAGACGAGGAGCAGCTGTGAGGAAGGCAAGAAATTGTGAATTAAGGGCAACATAACCTTGACTGACAGTAACAGCCTAGATACAAACAGTTATTTACAGAAATAGAGAGGTGTGTGTGTGTGTAGATATAAAGAACATTCTAGCAGGTATGGTCTTTAAAAATGTGTAGAAATTTCATAAACATAGTTTTCAGCATGAAATTTTAGTAATTAGGTTTAGTTGGGTGATGATGAATATTCAGTGACATATATTTACCGTAGCATTAACAATTAATGTTAGGAAATACTGTATTAATATTCTACTGTTAACATCGTGAATAAAAAAACAGAAAATTACAAGAAATACATAAATGCAGACAAATAGCATATTTCATCTTGATTTGAGAGAAAATAGTATGGATATGACCGTTTGTCTGTATGGGTGTACGAGTGTCACTTATACCTTGCATATTTATCTTTACAGATAAATCAGTTAAGCATTCCATGAATATGTATCTTTTACTTTTATCCTCTTCACCACTGATCGGCTCATTAGCCGCTTGGGCGGTCGGTCACGTCTCTGTCACGCACTGTTGGCAAGTACTAGTCATGTACTGGCTCTCTGTTACGCACTGTTGGCAGGTACTGGGCATACACCGGCTCCTGAATGTACCTGAACCTGCTTCAGTGTTGGTCAAGTCTGGTCTTGAAAGAACTCACACTCGGTGCCGTCACAACACTTTCTGGCAGATTGTTCCAAGAGTTCACAACTCTCACTCCGAAAAAGCTTGCCCTCACAGTTTTCTGGACCTGCGGCTCCTTCAATTATGAGCTGTGACCCCTTGTGAGGCAAGCGTACGCCAGCTCCAAGTAAGGACACTCGACTGAGTAGTGCCCCTTGGGATGCTTATACACCTCAATTAGGTCGCCTCTTGCCCATCTGCAGTATAAGCTAGGAAAGTTCAGGCGCTCCAATCTCTCAGGGCAATATGCAGAACCAGAAGTGTATCCAGTATTGTGCACTGCTGCACTACTCTCGTTGTAATTTATATTAAAAGTCACACAGTATACAGTCACGGTTAAAAGTAAACACCTACTCCACCACCTAACCACTGCTCTTGGCCGGTCCTTTCTGCAAGGTAAGTAAACGTGGGATGAAGAGGGGGAATGGTCGACAGCCCAGTTTAGTGTTACTGGTGGTAAACAAGGCCAAACACAAAGCCACACCATGGGCTTTCCCTCACGGAAGTAAGACGCTTTATCAACCTTAATGACACATTAACCTGCCAAAGGCGCACTCACATTCCTCCCCACAGTCTAAAGTAAAGACATAGATATTACTAAGGAAAAGTTATGTTCATATGACACCCCTCCTGATTGGTTGGATGTTTGGGCTTTAGACCTATCAACTGTCAGTCATTAAGGCCTTCATTGTCAAACTACAGCCACCAACCTTAACACCCTTGACTTTCGCCCTCTTGCTTAACCGGTTCCGCCACCATCTAGCCCCCCAATTCTTCACACACCCTCTTATGTTTCGTTGCGTAGAAAAGCTTTGAGCTCGAGGGTATGATGGAGGGAGGGTGTGGATGATTACTTTTGACAGCGCCTGCACTTGTGCCATTCTTTTCGTCCATGCATTGTTATTACCGCTGGTGATTGTAGATGAGGAACTGCAATATGTTGTTGTTGCTGCAGGCAGGGGTGGAGGTGGAGGATGGGGAGCCCCCTGAAGAGCCAGAAGAGGGCGGCTACCCAAGGACAGACTCTTCCTACAGCATCGACATTCCTAACTCCAGCACCTTGTGGGAAGCCGACCCCAGGCCACTTACATCCCCTCAGGTAATTGTTGATACACACCACCACTATATATATATATATATATATATATATATATATATATATATATATATATATATATATATATATATATATATATATATATATATATATATATATATACTGTATATACATATCAAACGTGACTTAAACCCCCCATTTTCATTAATAGCACCTTTACCTCTTATCATGTGTTCTCATGCCTTATAACCTTTCATTAGCAATCTTCTCGTCTATATTTACTTCTTTCTTCTTTGCTCTCTTTTTGCAAATGTCTTCTTTACCTTCACCAGTTTATTTCCTTTTCTGTGTGTCTCATGTTTCATAAAACATGTACGGTACTGTACTCTATTTTTTTCACCCTCAATTTTCTCATTCATCAGTACAGTATTATCCTTTGTCTTCACTAATATTCATCATACAACCTTGACACTGTTAACTGTTGCAGTACTACCACTTCACGTTGTTCGCCATGTCCCTGAACGAGCTGAGCGAGGAGTTGCGCCGAACCTTAGGACCCACCGACTGCAGGTGAGGTCCCTGATAGTGATACTGTGCTCCTGTAACCATTCTAGGTCTTCAATATTTCTCATTCACATCCCATCACTGTATTTCTTTCACAACATCACCATCGTTGTATCTCCTTCACTACATCACCATCACTGTTTTTTCACACACACACACACACACACACACACACAATCACACACACAATCACACACACAATCACACACATACATACAGAGTACGTATATTGTAGAAACTTTTGACAGCCGTCCAAAAATGTTAAGATGTTATACAAACATTGATTATATACCATCTTTCGGGGTTTTTAAATGCGTTTGGTTTCCCGGTTAAGAGCATTTCAATTATGCTTCTTACACGGCCATTCGATATCTTAATACAGTGATCCCTCGGTTAACGAAATTTCGGTTAACGAATTACCTTCCATAAGAATCTTCAATTCGGTTAAAGAAAAAAATTCGGTTAACGAAATTTTTACGAAATCATGTCAACATGTTTTCGCTCGCTCACCAGCTGGAATATTAGTCCACCAATACAGTAATCGGTTCTAGGGCTTAAATTCGTTACCATTTGAGTAAATATCAAGAAGGTTGTACTATTCAATAATTTTCCAAGTTTTATATTAAAATTTTTAGTAATTTTAACACTTATTTAACATAATTGCAGTACAGGAAACTTGTTTTTGGTGCACCAATCAGCCACTTGACTCACCCATCAAGGCGTCAGTTTGTATCTCTGGTCAGTGGAGGTAACATCTTGCTTGTGGCTCTCTTGAACATAAACTATTTTTAACTTTTTACAGTACAATTATTGGTCATTCTGAAATGTGTTTTACATATTGACAATATATAGTGCAGTGCAGTGTTGATTTAAAGATAATAATTTTGAATTACACCTAGTGAAGTTAAAATTTTATGGGTGAAATGACGGCATGAAGCATGGAGTGATTTCTCTTCCACCCCCACTTCCTTCTCTTCTCCCTTCTCCTCCACCCCCACTTCTAATTCTCATCATCATCAACCAGGAGCCTTCTACATACACACCTCAAAGTAAGTGTACTTTACTGCATTTATTTTTACTATGTATGTAATTTTCGGTGAGCTGGAACCAATTACCCAAAATCCCCTTGAAACAATGGTTTCGGTTAACGAAATTTTCGGTTAATGAACGACCTTCTGGAACGAATTGTGTTCATTAAGCGAGGGACCACTGTACTGTATACTGATACCGTAAATACAACAATTAATGATTATTTTCATAATATTCCTACAGGTCTCCCCCCCCACCCCCCCCCACTCTCCCATTTTCATGAATATTTTTCACTTACAGTTAATTATAATTTCTTTCCTTTTATTCACCACTTCATCTAAACCTGAGTTACTATTCATCATATGCTTCTTCAGCTGCTTTACTTCTGTTCTTTATCTTCTAATCTGTTGTCAATGATGAAGAACAAACTGTTAAAGCCACAAACTTGACCTTGCAGGTTGCGTCCGGATATTCGGCTGTTGGAAAGTGGAGACATAGACGCAGCAGCTAATGAGAAAAATCGACTCGAAGAGAAGCAGAGAGATGCGAGGAAAAGTAGGAAAAAGGGCAAGGAAGAGTGGAAAGCCAGGTACTACTGTAATATATGGCTTACATAAAGCATTTATAACAAGTTGAAATTTAATGATTAAGAGAGAGAGGCCCGTAGGAAATTATAGTTACAGGTAGATATGTAGATCTGGTAGGTGTAATGCGTCTTGACGTAAACAAGTTATTTAGGTTATCGCACTGGAAAGTTTAAAATAGTAGAACGTAACTATTTAGTACAGTATCCAGAAATAGTACCGGGGTAACTATAATATGTTTAGAAAGGAACTCCAGGTTTTTGCAATGAAATTACAGTACAGTACCACAATGTTTTTACAATGGAAAAAAGAATTAAGGGAAAAGATAAAGACTGCCTTAACAAGTAAACACTTATAAAAATTTATCCTAAGGCATTGATGGTTTATTTTTAAATGTGTTTAACGTTGATTTGTATTTTCTAAAATTGATTCATGAATCACTTTCAGACACCCATTGTCCCTCTGACAAAGCTATATACCCCCCTGTATATTACTTAAAGGTTTCCTTGCAGATGGTTTGAACAAGGGACCAATCCATTCACTCGTCAAGCAGATTGGCTGTACTCTGGTGGCTACTGGGATCGTAACTTTGATGAGACTATCGACATCTTCTGATGAAGCAGCAGCTCATATTCAAACACCATATCTTGTCAGAGGAGCTTCTTTCGGATAATGCCATTACAGTCATGACTGATCAAGCAATGGCATCATATCCGCTTTTTACACACTCAGTTACTTTTTATGGTTTGTATCACAAGGTTTGATATTTGCTTGAGAAGTGGAAGTGATATAACAAACCTTGAAAACTGGTAAGTAACAAAGTGATTAGTACTGGTAAGTTACCGGGTAGATCATGAAGGCACAATTATGCGTACTACCTTTACCTACAAATGTAAGAAGTTATAATTGCTGCAGATAACAAGACACTTTACACTTTCTGTACAAGGATGTATAACAGAAAGGTTATCATTAATTAAAAATACATTTTTGAAATATTCTGAACCTCAAAAAAAGGAAAGAAAAATACTCATTAACATCAGGTGTGATTATTGTATGTCAGTGTTAGACGTTTAATATTTGGAAACTTCCAACTGACTAATGAATTGTGCAGAAATTCCATTTGGTTGTTTGTACACTGAAGAAAAATATATTGAGCTTGAAGTACTGTATTAAAGACACTCATGGCAGAAGCACAGTAAGGTGGTTAGATTACATTTTGTATTGTCAAATATCTTCAGAAACAGAAAATTTTAAGAAAATACATTTGAAAGAACATAAGTTGAAGTGTATCATGGAGTCTACTAGATTTTTAATCCACATCTATGACATAAAATTCTAATGTTTACTCTTATTGATTACGATTACCTTTATTTTATATGTCTCCTCGTAGGTCTACTGTACTGTAGAGTTGGATGAAACAATTGTTGAAATGTTTATGTTATTGTTTATATTTCAGTTGATGAAGGACGTGCTCTCATACTAAAAACAAATGAAAAAAAGTTACACAGCTTCGAGCTTGAACTTTTAAAGTTCTTAATATAAACAAAACCCAAATTTGCAGAAGACCATGTTAATGTTTTAGTTCAAATCTTGGTCACCACATATAGTGTGCATGTGTGTGTGTAGAAGGAGTAAATTTATGGAGAATTCTCATTCATCTACATTAGAGATCAAATTTGTACATTAGTACATCTCCCATATAGTTGTGTGTTTTACCTGTAGACTTGTCAGCAGAGTATTTTTACCACATTCGATCTGAATTTTTGAAAGTGTAAATTAACAGTAAATGAATTCCGGTACTCCTCAAACCTAATGTAGGGAGGTGTTGTAGGGCTGCCCATCTTTCTGTCATAGTACATGTCTGTCTGTCCGTCCGGCTGCCAATTTATTTCCCCTGAGACCATTGGCAGAGAGGAATTGCATAGATATGTGTGTGTGTGTGTGTGATACGTTCCGGGCCTGATACCTTAAAATATGATTACCATCATTCCTGTGGTTACGAGTAATGACTGTTCTGTGGATACATTCTCTATGTGTATTTACATATGTTTAATTGATGTGCCCACTTCATTTGCAGTGTCAGTTCCTTATTGGGGTCCTGTGGATGGCTCTAATGGTCACTTGAAACAAATTGTGTAGTAAAGCAATATTTTGTCGCTGTTTATCAACTAATTGTGTTATTTTCACGTTGGTTCAAAAGTGAAAACTGAAGGAAGTTAAGATACATACTTATGATGTTAATTGTCTGATAATTATTTCATACTGTAAATCATTTATACCTAGAGTATACATGTTTTAAGTTATCTAATTCAAGATATTAATGAATGTATAATTTCATTACTTAAAGAAACCTTTTGTTAATTATAGTGTACTTTAGTAATTATGAAATGGTGTTAGGTTATAGTGTTCATGTTATCTAAATGTGTCTATACTACAGAGTTTCAATCCTTTTGCAAGACCAAGAATGAAAACAGTTTACTATAAATTTTAAAAAAATTATATTTTTCTCACTATAGCACTGAATATTATTAGTTGTGGATGAAGGTGAGACATATTCATTGTGTTATTATCATTTTCTTAAAACTTTCATCATTGTTTGGCTTCATCAGTTCTCATAACTTGTTAGTGTCATGTTTTTCTCCTAAATATGTTTATGAAATTTGTATGTTTTTTTTAGCTTAAGATTGGCTTCAAGTGAAAGTGAGTTAAATTTAACAAAGCAAAATATAACTATTGAACAAAAAAGTATTGAAAATTTATTGTTAAAGAAAATATAGATGGGAATTACCATTAATTTTGAAATCTTATCGTGAAATTTTGTTTAGTAACCAGAGTTATGCAAGATACAGTATTGGGATATTCTCCAGTTACTTCCTCTAGAGTGTAGCGTCCATAATGTGAACCCTAGTTGCTCTGCTCAATAGATATGTGTCTGTTTCTGCCTGAATGTACGTATATGTTATATGTGCTTGTTGTTCACTGTTCACTACTTCCTCACTGGGGTTATGATTATGTTAAGTGAATGATGTTAATGAAGATAAGCCAAACTAACCTCTTTCTTTGCAGTTCCACTTAAAGGATTAGCAACATGGGATGCAACTGATACAGGATAAAACAAGGACACTAAAATTCATTAACAATATGTGATGCTACTAATACAGGTTAAAACAAGGACACTAATATTCATTAATACAGTATCAGTTTACTTCTATTAGCATTCAGATTATGGTTAAACTGACCTAATATCTAACAGATTCATCTTAAGCTTAAACAACAAGATATCTGTGACTATAACCTGTACAGTACTGTAATCATAATAAACTTTGGTGATAATTGTCATTTGTTGATACCATCTCCATTATTCTTTCCACAATATAAATGACCATTGGTAGCAATTGTTTAACTACTTACAGTACTATTTGATAAGCAAAAAGTTAACATTCACACTGCTGAAAATAAGTTCACATGGCAAGTAATATTACTGTACTGTACTGTACTTGTTTACAGTGTAACAAGTTTTAATAAATGAATAATACTACACACACACACACACACTTTTTTTTTTCCCAAGTTTATATTGGCCCACCTAAGAAACTATTTAGATCATATTTGCATAAACCACGTTTCAGGAAAAAGCCATTATTGCATTTCACAAGATTTCTGGATTTTTTTTAACAATGCAGGTAAATTATTTGCCTCGGAATATCTGAATAGATGCAGAAGCCATTATCAAGTATTTATACAGTATAGTATTATGAAGTGACTCGACTCGATACATAACAGAATACCTGTATCATCCTCATAATGCATGTTGGCTGAAGAAAACTGTGAACAGTATTATATTTATTCACACTAGTTAATGTTACAAGTGTCGTCTTTATTTATGGAATATATATATCAGTAAATTCCGTCTACACAACACTTATTTTCCAGAGATATGCTTTACAGCTTATGAATAATACCAGAATTACATATGAAAGAATGATTTCTTATAAACCACTTTTGTTATTAGTCTGGCAGTTGCATATTTTTCTATCAAATTACTCTACTGCAGTGTAACAACACAGGAAGTTTCTGTTAATCTGTCATTACAGTGAACTCATTTCACTAATTTGTTATCTTAACGTTCATTGACAGATTTAAATAAACTCGACAATTGAGACACTAGACATGAAATATATATATACTGAATTAACCTTTACGATATACGTATACTCAAGGATGTACCTTCAACAATTTTCATTATGCTCTGCAGAGACAGTGAAGCTTATGTTGAAATGAGCTTATCAAATGATGAAAGTCTCCAGTCATTACTTTCTTACTGAATTCTTAGCTGTCTCTAATTAAAATTCTGTAATGTATCTTCACAAGCTCTTTGTCAAGATAATACAGCAATAAATTTTTAAGTGATGATAGGCCTCCACTGGGTATAAAGTGTAACTGCCTCATAGGAATATTTCACTGATGGTGTTGTCGGCTTTTGATGCAGCAGTGGTACCCAGGATTATTATTTGTGTACATTTTAATATATAAAGATATTAAAAAGCAGTCTCGCTTATACAGTATACTGTGTACTGCTTTTAAAGTTCCTAAATTAATTTGTGTAGAAAACTTATTGCTTGTTTAATTGCTTGCAGATTATGTACATGATCTATATACACCTAAGAGAAAGAATCACTTCATGAAAATTGCCTTATATTGGAACATATCAGTGTCATAGACATGCCAATATATTTATGATTCATCCAGCTCACTCCTTTATCACACTTGCTAACTTTGTCCACTCATCCCATTGCACTGCATGATTACTGATAATTAGGAACCTTAGGTGAATACATAACTACTCCGAAACTGAGCATGAATATTGAGCTATAAAGTCATGTATACGTAAGACTGAGTGAATCGAGCTTCTCATTACATCCCAGCAGGAGGGTGGTGAAGCTTTCTGTATGCCATAAATATATGTGGGTAAGCATGTTTTGTGTCACTACTTAATAAGTCTTTTCTGTATCCTTGCAATGTATGGAAGGGAAACCACCATAGCATTCGCTAGTCGTGTAATTATAGTGACATGCATCTATTGTACTCCACCCGACGGGCTCAGGGATAACACATACAGACCTTTAATCCTGGGGTGTTAACCATGTATCCTGTTCTCTGCTTCTGCATTAATGTTCCACCCTATGCATATATATTTTTGTTTTATTTATTCTGGCAGAGTCTTTAAATAATAATACAAGAGAAAATTAAGTTGGAGACTGTCTATGCAGGAGGCCATACGAACTAGTGAAGAGAGGTCCGGGTCACATTACGGAGGCATAAAGTTTGTTATTGCCACCACTGAAATGATTAACGAAACTAAGTTCATGTGTTAGTACGGATCCGTTAGCAACTCCTTCATATTTCTTTTATAAAACAATTTGCTACAACTCCAATAAATTCAATACTTACTCTATACTGTGTTAATCTAATTTAGCGAATGCAAGGTTTTACAGCATGTGTTTGTTATGTTGTTAAGGGTAGTGATACCCCTCAGTCCCAACAATGAGATATGTTATCAAAAGTTGATGAAGCTCCTCTATAGGCTATAACTAAAACATATTGACATCACACCTACTAATACATGATGCACTGATATGTTTTTGTTCCTATGTGTGTGAAACTTTGTCACACGAGGCAGCACCCTCATATTATTCTGTAATGTTTTGTTGTTTACAGAATTAAAGTCCCCCAATTCGTATCAAAATGCAACTTATTCATGTAGTAATTCTATACGAGTCCAGCTTGGCACTTTAATACAATCTTTGGAAACGTCGCTATGAACTCTTTTTAGTAAGTTTTTAAAGTTATGCAAGAACGTTTTAAATGGGTTTATGGCTGATATTTTCACAAGAAACGGTTTTTCCTGCATATAATATCATTAAATAAAGACACCATCTCGTAGAAAGATAAATCAGATCATGAAAACGAGAGTTACACTGAAAGCAACAGCGTGAGAGTTTACAAGTACGTATGCAGGTAATTATACGTTTAACAAGAGTGCATGTTTCCGTGCAATATCCAAAAGCCGTATCAGCACTTTAATAACATTATGAATCAACAAAAACATACAGTATTTACCGATGTTGAATACAACACTCGCCTAGCAACCTAATGGGCACTGGTCTGGCCTGGAACAACCCCAGTGGAACCAGTTGTGAATGGATTCCTACCTATTGATCAGGAAGTAAAGGCGTTGAGTGCAGTGCCGGCCATATTGTGCACACAGACATAGTAATCATTTTATTGCATCCACATTGCCTCTATTATGAAATCAGGCATATTGAACCCAATTTCACTTCCATTTTTTTATACACAGAACAATACTGTATCTGGATGTAGTTCAAACACTTAAAATCTGTTAGCTTTACGAACTGATAACGGTAATTAAGCTTTTTAGCTGAATCTCAGATCGAGACACTTAGAAGTTGAGGCAATTTTAGCATGTTTTTATATACCTGTGCATAAGCCAAGTTTTTAAGATAACCTTTTTGTAAAAAATTAAGGCAAACTATAATTCCGGCTATCGACGCTCACAGCGGTCACACAAGGCGTGTCCAACTTCAGCATCGCAAAACGTAACATTCAAGGTGGATCTTAGTAACCTTATTACTGTGGCAACTACAGCTCTTGTTCTGAGCTACATCAAGCTTAGACAAGAAAAAAACATTTGTCAACTCGTCCATGGTATACTCGGTAACTAGGAGGAGGAATACAAGCATGTCACGAGCAACATGAGCATTGCTATCAAATCAACACTAGTACACGATTAATATGCATTCATAAATTATTACATATATTTTATGTATTATGGTACCTTTAATTTAATACATTAACAACTCTCCTTTAAACTCGGTAGTGATGCTGATCTCATAAGTGAAGACCTAAATGTCAGAGTTAAAGGAAACCGGGTACACTAGCTAGAGACTCCTCATCTGCTACCAGATTTGTCTGCCAGTATGAAACATTGCCAGTTTAAATGCTCCTGTGAAGCCCCTTTAGTTCAAACAATAACATTATTTGGGATCAGCCGGCTTATTTCACCTGATGAATAAACACCTTAATGTTGCTTGGGGGGGTTAGCTTAGGTTAGCATTATGGTGTTTCATCACCAGGTAAAATGATCTACGATATCTATTTTCTAGTGATCCAACACCTTTGAGCATTGACATCACTGCATGAGCTATCTTAAAACATGAGAAAATAATTACCAACTATTACGGGTATGTGTGTGTACCAACTACCAAATGATTTGTATTTTTTCAAATATATATATATATATATATATATATATATATATATATATATATATATATATATATATATATATATATATATATATATATATATATATATATATATATATATATATATATATATATATATATATATATATATATATATATATATATATATATATATATATATATATATATATATATATATATATATATATATATATATATATATATATATATATATATATATATATATATATATATATATATATCAGGGGACCACTGTGGTCAGGTCACACCGGACAGCGTCATTAGAGTTGACTTGTCACAGGCACTTTACACAGATAAGTGGCTGAGTCATCAGCGTTAGATAATATAAATCATAAGTGGAGTTGAGAGGGTCACATTGCCTAAGGTAATCGACCGTGACCCAGAAAATCCCAATGTATGCTATGGCCAACCTTTCCCAGACTCGGTTATTGACCTGCTGTAAGCATTTTGGGACCAGACCCAAAATATTCAGGAGATATAATTTGTGAATCACTGTTTGGTGAAGAGAAAATTCAGAATCGATATTGAATATCCAGAAGAATGTTACACAGTACTAATCTAAAAGAAGTCTTGTAAATTTAAAACAATATGTCTCGATATATTAAAATAATTTCTATTCTGTGATTGTCTGTGAACAAGGATAATTAAAGTTATAATGATTTATTTTATTGATAACAAAGATCTTTAGTCCTATACTGTTTCCATCCAATTGTTGCCCAACACATAATCAACAAGGAATCACAAAGTGGCACTTAGGAAGCCAGGAAAGGACCAAATATTCTACAGTGTTAGTAAAAGATGTGGACTTACTTCATATCTACTGACATCAAGCCTGATAATCTTTTAATTAAACATTTATGTTTGACAGCTTTTTGGTTGATATTAGAGTTGTTCATGTTGTATGAAGACTAACGGGTGTGATATTAGAGTTGTTCATGTTGCATGAAGACTAACGGGTGTGATGTTAGAGTTGTTCATGTTGTATGAAGACTAACAGGTGTGATGTTAGAGTTGTTCATGTTGTATGAAGACTAACAGGTGTGATGTTAGAGTTGTTCATGTTGTATGAAGACTAACGGGTGTGATGTTAGAGTTGTTCATGTTGTATGAGACAAGTTACAGACTAACAGGTGTATGTGATAGAGTTGTTCATGTTGTATGAAGACTAACAGGTGTGATGTTAGAGTTGTTCATGTTGTATGAAGACTAACAGGTGTATGTTAGAGTTGTTCATGTTGTGACAGGTGTGATGTTAGAGTTGTTCATGTTGTATGAAGACTAACAGGTGTGATGTTAGAGTTGTTCATGTTGTATGAAGACTAACAGGTGTGATGTTAGAGTTGTTCATGTTGTATGAAGACTAACGGGTGTGATATTAGAGTTGTTCATGTTGTATGAAGACTGACAGGTGTGATGTTAGAGTTGTTCATGTTGTATGAAGACTAAGGGTGTGATATTAGAGTTGTTCATGTTGTATGAAGACTAACAGGTGTGACGTTAGAGTTGTTCATATTGTATGAAGACTAACGGGTGTGATGTTAGATTTGTTCATGTTGTATGAAGACTAACAGGGGTGATGTTAGAGTTGTTCATGTTGTATGAAGACTAACAGGTGTGATGTTAGAGTTGTTCATGTTGTATGAAGACTAACAGGTGTGATGTTAGAGTTGTTCATGTTGTTGTAACATGAAGACTAGACTAGCGGGTGTGATGTTAGAGTTGTTCATGTTGTATGAAGACTAACGGGTGTGATGTTAGATTTGTTCATGTTGTATGAAGACTAACGGGTGTGATGTTAGAGTTGTTCATGTTGTATGAAGACTAACAGGTGTGATGTTAGAGTTGTTCATGTTGTATGAAGACTAACGGGTGTGATGTTAGATTTGTTCATGTTGTATGAAGACTGACAGGTGTGATGTTAGAGTTGTTCATGTTGTATGAAGACTAACGGGTGTGATGTTAGATTTGTTCATGTTGTATGAAGACTAACAGGTGTGATGTTAGAGTTGTTCATGTTGTATGAAGACTAACAGGTGTGATGTTAGAGTTGTTCATGGTGTATGAAGACTAACAGGTGTGATGTTAGAGTTGTTCATGTTGTATGAAGACTAGCGGGTGTGATGTTAGAGTTCATGTTGTATGAAGACTAACGGGTGTGATGTTAGAGTTGTTCATGTTGTATGAAGACTAACAGGTGTGATGTTAGAGTTGTTCATGTTGTATGAAGACTAACGGGTGTGATGTTAGAGTTGTTCATGTTGTATGAAGACTAACGGGTGTGATGTTAGAGTTGTTCATGGTGTATGAAGACTAACGGGTGTGATGTTAGAGTTGTTCATGTTGTATGAAGACTAACGGGTGTGATGTCAGTATCTTAACAGTACTGTATGTAAGATGATACTGTTTTTGTAGCAGAACCTCACCATTTATATTACATTTACTCCAACCAATAGAAATAAGATATTTTTACCCCAGTCTTACTTGGGGATTCCATTTTTTACTTGGCCCAAATTTTTATTTTTTCATAACAATAATAATAGTGAAGAAGAAAATCCAGGAATCTACAAATTATGAAGAGAGTTTCATGGTGGTATCTAAAATACATGAAAACAGTAACTTGTATGTCCATGTAACTTCTTGATGACTTTTAGTTTTTACACCATTTGTTGATCATGAAGTTTGGAGTGAAAGAGATTTAAAAAAAAAAAAAAAATCGTAAGTGACAATGACGCTTGATTTATTCTATAACACAAAAGTTTATAAGAAATATGAAAAACATTCAGGCGGAAATAATATTGTAACTGGAAAACAACTGTTCTATCTCTTATAATATTTAGTTGTTGATGGGCTGGTGTAACATTACAGCGCTAACACCTAACGAATCGTGAAACTGGTGTATGATTGCCCGTTATCACCAAAAAATTAACAAAATTGATAAAAACAATTGAACAAAATAAATATTTAAGCAAACAATATTTGCGAGAATCCTATATAACATCAAGTTAATATAATTTATAAACTCAGCACACAATTTTAGTACAAGATAACAACAGAAATGTTGCTCTTTCCTCAAATTACGTTTTAGCTTGTCACTCATAATGAACTTGTGTAGGGCCTATGATTTGATTTTACAGTGTTTTATGTTTGTAAGCTGTAGGTTGTGTTGGAAGAGGTTTAAGCAAGGATATACTGTAGTAGCTGGTCACTATCTTTGCCTTTAGTAAAGTCAAAGCCATATTATTAGTCAACGAGGAATATGAAGCCTATTCCCTAAAATAGAGAAGACAAATTTATATAGCTACGAAAAGATAAGCTTCTTTAATTTACTTAACTCTCTTTTGATTATGAAGGCTTAAATGTTCTACCTATTATCTAAGAAATAATGATGACTAATAGTTTTCAGAATTTACAAAGATTGGTTACGCTACCAACCAACGACCTTGCTTTTACCGTAGTCACCTATATAACTGAATCACTGATTTCCGTTTATGTTTTTTGGGTTTTCACTTCATAGTTTACATTGCACGCTTTTTTTTAATTGGAGATGTGCTTGCTTGCTCTTACCTTCCAGCTAAAGCGGTATTAGCCTCTGCTTAAATGCCTTACCCCGTGCTATGATCTAAGTCGAATTACGAACATGTCCGTAGTAATGCTACAGCACAGATAGATATAGATGTAATCACCCACAATACAGTATACTGTAAATACCTAAGTTGTCAAGTTATGTATTTTGTTCATGTGAAAGAGTTAGCTCAATGACGTTGAAGTCTATAGAGAAAAAATATATATACTGTATATGAATAATGCAGAGTTCTTTTATTTCACCTACAGTTTTGCTGTTTCTTTTCAATATCCAATGTCTTAAAAAACAATTTAGGAGAATGAAGGGCCTAGTATATTCACATGTATGAACTCAGAAATTTACTTAATAGTCTGCATATGATTTGGTAACTCAATAGATACACAGTTAAGTACAGATTTTCTTCAGTTTAGCTGCCATCGTTCATACATAGTACAGCAGTGGCGGCTCGTGCATAGGGCTGCAGAGCTGCAGTCCCCCCAGACACTCACTGCCAGGCGTATGATTCCTTTAGAGAGACAGCTGAATAATACACTACCAACAAATATATCATTTTATATGTTATTTAATTATTTTCAATACGTTGCTAAGTGAATTTTCATTAAAATCAGACCAAAATTTAAGTTACTTTCATAGTTGCTGTCAATGCTGTACGATTCATGTCTGTTATTAATTGGCGCCGCCGCCGCACCACTTCTGGAGACAATGAGCTGCACTTGAAGCAGCTCAGTCTCGTACAACGTGTTTACATTGCGTGTGGACGGTGTGGTTAAATCGTGATTTGTGTAAATCAGAAAGTCTCATAGACTTGTTGGAGATGATGAATGACAATAATCTACAGTCAACATTTTCAGACACTGTCAAGTTGCTGAAAATTTTAATAACAACTCCAATGACAATGGCAGAAGCAGAAAGGTGCTTTTCAACTTTGAAGAGAATTAAAACTTTTTTGTGCAGTACCATGGTGAATGACAGACTGTCTGCTTTAGCAGTGATATCCATTGAAAATAAAATGATAACAGAAATAAAGGATTTTAATGAAATAGTAATAAACAATTTTGCTACATCAAAGAGCAGACGTGCGGACTTTATTTTCAAGTAATACATGGTGAATGACAGACTGTCTGCTTTAGCAGTGATATCCATTGAAAATAAAATGATAACAGAAATAAAGGATTTTAATGAAATAGTAATAAACAATTTTGCTACATCGAAGAGCAGACACGCCGACTTTATTTTCAATTAATACTGGTCCATCACCACCTCGGCCATCCCTTCTACCACCAACACTACTACCATGCCCTGGGAATTCGTGGACATCAACTACAACTCATACCTGAGGTAGGTCAAATTTGTGTATCCTACTGTTGTGTGAGGCTTGCAGTCCCTCCATTTTATTTTTCACGAGCCGCCACTGTTGTACAGTATCTGTATATATCAATCAAACATATTAACATCCCACAAACTTGTTTGGCCACACCTTACAATTGCATACCCAGAGCAATAGTAGTTCATACAACGCTACTCCTTCTTAATTTGAATTTGCTAGACAAACACTTATTCCCGTAGTTTTAGAACCCCTAAAATGGAACTTCATATATCTAATCCTAACCCAGAATAATTAATTGTGCTCGGGAGATTTTCTTCCCACCCTTGAGTAACCTGATATTTATTTCAACCTTTTAAACCTCCAGAGGGCAGGGGCTCCCCTCAGCTGAATAAAATCATCTGGTGTTAACCGGAATGAAATCGCATGGCCTAGGCCACAATAAAATACCTAAGGGATACTTTGCCCACTAAAGGGTTAATCAAAATAGGTTCTAAAGCGACTAAGAGCTTGAAGATGCTGTAGTTGAACAGTAATAGAGGTGAGGCATATAGACTAGTAAGGCAAATAGTGGGTACGTATAAACAAAGATGTACAGTATTACCCCGCCTAACGCGGTTTCACTTAACGCGTTTTATCATATACGCGGTGCCTCGCCAGAGCTGAACTTTCACTTAACACGGATTTTTTCCACATATACGCGGTGAGTGTCCGGCTCGAGACGCTATTTTTAGATTTGCCCCACCCGCCACCCTGCCTGACTGCCTGTTTTAGCTCATAAAATTCATACAAATTACCCGGCCAGAATATAATCTACATTGCTGGAATTCTTATAATTTGGTGATCATTTTGAATATAAACATCATATATTTTGCATTAGACATACAAATTTTAGATAAAAATTTTTCTCAGAGTAACTATGTTATCTTTTGTGCAAAATATATGACATTTATATTCAAAATATTCCTGGTCTTACAAGGAATCCAGCAATGTCAATTATATTATCCTAACTTTAGTTTGAGGTATTATTTATTAAAATTTAGTGGTTATCCCACACATCTCCTTGGGACGGTTGGTGGGGGGTGGGGGGGAGGGAGGGACCGACCGACCATCTGTTACCCCGTGAAGAATTATTATTTTTTTTTTATTAACTGAAGATATTTGTTTTAGCTCATAAAATTCATACAAATTACCCGGTCTGAATATAATTTACATTGCTGGAATTCTTATAATTTGATGATCATTTTGAATATAAACATCATATATTTTGCATTAGACATACAAATTTTAGATAAAATTTTTTCTCAAATTAACTATGTTATCTTTTGTGCAAAATATATGACATTTATATTCAAAATATTCCTGGTCTTACAAGGAATCCAGCAATGTCAATTATATTATCCTAACTTTAATCTGAGGTATTATTTAATACTAAATGTTAAAAACCCTGGAAGGGAGGATTGGTGGGGGGTGGGGGGGAGGGTTGGGACTGACCGCGCGGTTGGAAGAGGGGGGGAGGCAAGGTGGGGTACTTTGATTGACAGATAGTGTCGTGAAGATTATTTTTTTTTTTATTAACTGAAGATATTTGTTTTAGCTCATAAAATTCATACAAATTACCCGGTCAGAATATAATTTACATTGCTGGAATTCTTATAATTTGGTGATCATTTTGAATATAAACATCATATATTTTGCATTAAACATACAAATTTTAGATAAAAAATTTTCTCTAGGTAACTATGTTATCTTTTGTGCAAAATATATGACATTTATATTCAAAATATTCCTGGTCTTACAAGGAATCCAGCAATGTCAATTGTATTATCCTAACTTTAGTTTGAGGTATTATTTATTAAAATTTAGTGGTTTTCCCCCAAAAATTTCTCTGAGAGGGAAGAGCCGGCAGTGTAGTGTGAGAGGGGGAGGGAGTTGAGTCCATTATTTGAATGGACATTAACTTGGCGACTGTATTTCTCTATTTCTCTTAAGTATTAATTGTGTGCATGTACCATCATAAAATTAAGATGTTATTTTTACTACAACATAGGTATGTGCCTTCAAAAAGTGGAGTTTGGGGGTCGGGCCGGTTTCTATTGGAATTAATCCCATATGTTCTGTTGTTCACTTAACGCCGATTTCACTTAACCCGGGACCCTCTGGGTTCAATTGATCGCGTTAAGTGGGGTACAACTAGTGTTGATAATGAGGAAATTAAGGATGCTTGAAGAAAATACACAATCATCTCCTGGATGAGGAGTTCGGCTGGGACAGGGGTAGCAGCAGAGCCAGTACAGGGACCATGCTCAAGGTGTAAAAGAGTATGGGCGAATAAAAGGATTGACAAAAGGATGAATCAAAAGATTGCTGTTAGCCCTAGAACAACTGGAGAAATGCTAAAGGAATCAGACAATGCTGGTGAGACGATGGTGACTATACTGACAGATGCAATTATTTTTGGAATACATTGTTCCACCTGATTGGGAATATTTACTAGGAAAAAGTGATGCATTTGAATGTGGATATTGCAGGGGGCTGAAACTATTAGAACAAATTAGGAAGCTTGTGAAAAGTAACCAAAAAGTTGAAAAGGGAGAGAGTGGACCTGAATGAAATGCAGTTTGGGTTAATGCTAGGCAAGAAGACTACAGAGGCAATCAATATCCATGGCCAAACAAATACAAAAGGGTACGGAATTCGGGGAAATGTCCTAGCGTGGATAGAAGACTTTCTACATGACTGCAAGCAGTGTGTGGTGATTAATGGCACGAAATCATCATCTGTACCTGTCACAAGTGGGGTACCACAGGGCAGTGTATTGAACCAGCTGTTGTTTGTTTGTTTGTTTCATAAATGACATGCCTGACGTTGTACACTCCTCCATACAAATGTTTGCCGATGACGCCAAGTTATTTCGGGAAATTAAGAACCAAGCGGACTGTGAAGAGCTGCAGAAGGACCTCTGTGGGCTCCAGGAATGGTCGAAGGAATGGCTGCTGAGATTCAATGTCACGAAGTGCAAGAGGATGCACCTGGGGCGCACCAACGGTAAGGAGGCGTATCATATGTCCCAACGGGATGAAGAAACTGCACTAGTTGAGACTGAATGTGAGAAGGACCTAGGTGTGTATGTTGACAATGAGCTGAAGTTCTCGGGCCATTGCGAGAAGAAGGTAAATCAGGCAAATAAATTATTGGGTCTTATAAGAAGGTCGTTCAGATATCTAGACGGTCCGTCCCTCGTAACGATCTTCAGGAGTGAAGTGCTTCCCCATCTGGAGTACTGTCACCCCGTCTGGTCCCCGAGATATGCTAGGGACTGCCAATTGGTTGAAAATGTTCAAAGGAGGGCCACCAGACTGGTGCCTGCACTTCGGCACCTCAGCTACCCTGAGAGATTGGAGTGCCTGAACTTGCCTACCTTTTACTACAGACGGGGCAAGGGGGACCTAGTTGAGGTGTAAAAGCATCTCAGGGGGCACTGCTCAGTCGAGTGTCCTTACTTGGAGCTGGCGGACTCTCGCCCCACAAGGGGTCACAGCTCAAGATTGAAGAAGCCGCAAGTCCAGAAAACTGTAAGGGCAAACTTTTTTGGAGTGAGGGTTGTAAACTCTTGGAACAATCTACCAGAGAGTGTTGTGACGGCACCGAGTGTGAGCTCTTTCAAGACAAGACTTGACCAACACTGGAGCGGGTTGAGGTACATTCAGGAGCCGGTGCATGCCCAGTATTTGCCAACAGTGAGTGACAGAGACGTGACCTATCGCCCGGGCGGCTAGCGAGCCGATCTTTTGGTGAAGAAGATAAATGAAAAGGAAAAGTAATCAGAGACATGACCGATCGCCCAAGCGGCTAACAAGCCGATCAGTGGCGAAGAGGATAAAAGCAAAGCTGAGCTTTGTATTTGTAGAATTTGGGAGAACACATATGATAAGCAATGAGAAATTTAGAGGTCGAGGAGTGTTCTGCACAAGTGCTTATGGCAATGTATGAGGGCTGAAGGACTTCTGTAAGTGAGGAATATGAGGATAAAAGTAGGAGTACAAGTAAGACAGGCAAGGTACAACAGGACAGTGTACTGGGCCTGGTGTCAGCTTCAGGAGTGGTCAAAGGAATGGCTGTTGAGATTTAATGTCTCAAAATGCAAGTGGATGTCTCTATGTCATACCAAAAGTAAGGCGACGTACCACTTGTCCTAACAGGACGAAGAAACAGCATTAATGGAGATTAAATGTGAAAAGGCCCTGGGTGTGTATGTTGACAACGAACTATAAACACCCCAGAGAACATTACTCAGTTGAGTGTCTATACCTGGAGCTGGCGGACGCCCGCCCCACTAGAGGTCACTGCCCAAAGTTGAAAATACCACAAGTCCAGAAAACTGCAAGGGCAAACTTTTCTGGAGTGATAAGTGTGAACTCTTGAAACAATCTGCCAGAGAGTCTTTGACGGCACCAAGTGTGAGCTATTTCAAGACCAGACTTGACCAACACTGGCACAGGTATTAGATACATTTAGGAGCCAGTACATGCCAACAGTGCATAAGAGACGTAACCAACCGGCTAACGAGTCGATCAGTGGAGAAAAGGATAAAAGTAAAAAGTAAAAGTACTGTATGATCTTCAAAATTCCAGTATAAAACTCTTAAGTTTCCTTCTTTGGATTTTTGGCCCTAAAAGCTGAAGAAACTATGATAAACAAGACAACATTAGGAACAATTCGTGCCTGCCAGAGGGCACCATATTTTATGACGAAATATTATATGTGAAAAGCAAAACACGACATTCAAGTAGGAATATTGTGCTTCCTTCAAATAACTACCAGCGCATGAGAGAGGATGACCATAACAAACTTGAGGGATGTCTTAAAGGAAGAACCATATAATTAACGGACGCCTTACTCGTTTCAGGAAGGATCACCAGGATCTTATTGGATCCATATTCAATCCTGTATTTGCATATTTTCATTTAATCTGGACCGATCTTTGGTAATCACAAGAAAACCTGAAAACATTTGTGGGGTATGAGATTGTTTGGTTCACACTCAGGATGGGATGGAGAAAGGAAACTCACAATGTGCTCTCTATATACATGTTGTATTGGATGTACAATGCAGCTTGGTGCTGGGAAGGCAGCGTGGTTACAAGCGTGATGTAGAGAGAGCTGGTTGGTGAGGACGCTCAGAGAAGGACAGCTTGTGGGTCGCCGTGCTCGCCAGCGGGAGAGAGGACCGCCAGGCAGGCGGAGGAGCGAAGGGCCGCCAGGCAGCGGCGGAGGAGGAGGTGTTGCTGGCTGCGGCTGTAGGTAGAAAGAGGCAGATCACCACGAGGTCTGGTCTTAAATAGCGGGGGTAGGCGTGGCTTAGCAGTTGACCCCCGCTCCGTGATGTATGGCGGCGCTGGTTGACCTAGACCACGAGGCATACACTGGGGAATTGGTGGGGTCGGCTAGGCAGCGACAAACAGCGTTTGTAGGGGAGAATTCCACTACACTGGCATACATGAAATCAATTGCAGTAGAGAAAATTACAATGAGCTAAAAAGAGACCCAAGTATTTTTTTTCTATACACGAGAATGACGTGGGAAGCTTTTGACTACATTTTGAAGATTTAACATCATTTGACGAAAACAGGTGTAAATGGCACACCTCGCACAACTAGAACCACCGCAACAACATGTCCACCCGCACAAGCAAGCTCGAAAAAATATTTTGTTCATTTATTTTTTACTACTGACCTCAGAACATCTAATATTAAGTGCTCATGGCTTCAAAATGGCCTCAAAATGCCCATGATATTGGCCAGATTAAAAAAAAGGGGAGGGGAGGGGAGCTAACAGCCCCCTCCCCACCCCACCAAAAAAAAAACAGCTGGGTGGACTCGCTTGACTCATTTTGTTCCACCACACAAAACTTCTTGGACCTCCCCTCTTTTGATTTTCCTAGATCCGTCCCTGCGAAAGTTGGTGAAGCAAAGTGAAGACCAGGTTGGTCGAATGAATCATCGTGACTACCAATGTGGCGGAAACAGAGCTCAAGTAGAAGATGGTTGAACTTCCCAAGAGATTTACTCATGTGTCCTTACCAAAAGAAAGTTCAGAAGTCAGAAACGATTTTCATTCTGTAAGGATAAGCAGTTCTTCTCACGTTACAAAAGGACGTTGCACTATTGACTAAATTGGTGTCACGCTTTATAAAGGAAGAGCTGTCAAAAGGCAACAAAACGGATTTCTTGTTGAATATACGGAATCACGCAAAACACTTGATATGATGTCTGCATTCCTGCCCGAACCAATAAAATATCAGTTTACATTCTTCACAAAGTTATTTTAAAGAAAACGGAAAGTTTAAGAGAGGAGGACAAGCGACCAGTTGACCCAACACTAACAACAAGCGTCAAGATGGTGACGGCTGACACGCCTCAAAAATCTGTCCAGTAATTGTAAGTGAATTGTTTTATTAGTTACTCGTTAATCTATAAGAGGCGCTGTATTACTACTTAATATAACCTGACCTTTAAACAGTAGCTACTTGTAGTAGTGACGCCATATATGTAGGTTTACTCTCTTGCCTTTGTTGATGGAATGTAGTTAACACCTGATAGAAGCGTACAGGGACCTCTTAATATTACAGTAATATTTCCAGGTTTAGGTTGTTCTTTCCGCTAACAGAGGAAAGCGAATCAATTTGGGGTAAATTTGCATTTTCAACCAATATGGCTCTCGAGTTGAGCAATGTGATTTTCCGATAGTTAAGACAATTTTGACACTTTTCTTCTATGATTTTTCCGTCGCAAATGACCTATAAGTACCTAACCTGGGATTCCCCAGTATATTTAAGTAATTTGCGAGGGAAACATCATCGAAGAAAATTGTCTTAAAATTGTCCAAACCATTGGAAAAGCATTTTGCTCAACTCGATATCCATATTGGTTGAGTAATACCCAATTTGGAAGGTAAGGTATTCTTAAGGTGACCAGATTTCCTGGAGCTAAAACCGGAACATCTCATGAATAATAATTAAAAAAATATTTGGCTAACAACATAAGTAGTACATGACATCTTTTGGTTAATATTATGAAAGTACTATTTAACTTACAACTTATAGGTCTTAGGATGGCTTATCAATGCACAAAAATAATGTATTTCAATTCTTGTATTTTTCACTGGATGAGATCTTTTTTAGTAACTCTGGAGTGGATGTTAGCATATTGTTGAACTACAGACAAGTTTTATTGAAATTTATTTGGAATTATTATTGTTTCGGCCATTTAGCGAATTTTAGGATTTTATTTTACCAGGTTGGATTAGGTTAGGTTGAAGTTATGTTTTTCCAAAGAATTTTGATGTGTTTTGAATGAGTCTGATCTTCATTTCTATCGCAAATTACTACCATTGGAAATACCTGATTTCGAATTCCAATTAGGTGGATAACCGAAACAATAATTTCGCCCTTTATTTTAGTTATTTTTAAGGCTTTGAAGATTGGGACTGAAGATGTGATTTTTCAGATGTCCACATCATATTCATTTGAGAGAAAGCACTTTCAGTAGAAGAATTAGTCCCAGGAAGACAGTATGTACTGAACCAATTCAGACATGCATTGAGGACTGATATCTCTGTCTTTGAAGTGAGTGAATTATTCTCCCCAGTCCACGTCTCTTGGTAACCTGGATTTATTCCAGGTTACAGGACAGGAAAAAGAGAGTCAGCATTAATGGCACTAAATCCGATTGGGGTAACATCACTACTGGAGTATCCCAAGGCTCAATACTTGAACCTTTACTATTTATTATATACAGTACTGTATATAAATGACTTAGATATATGAGTAGACAGCAACATAAGAAAATTTTCTGACCACAATAAAATTGGGTGAGTAATTGAATCTGACGAGGACTCCGCAAAACTACAGGAAGATCTTAAAAAAAAAAAAATCTTAGCATGGCCTGAAAATGGCAGAAGAAATTTAGTGTGGACAAATGTAAAGTACTTAGCTTAGGAGATGTAAACAGAGAAATCAGATATCAGATGAACAACGTTGATATAGAGGAATCCGACTGTAAGAAAGATTTAGGGATAATGTTAAGTAGGAATCTTAAACCAAGACAACATTGAATATTTGCTGAAAACAAGGCTAACAAAGTACTTGGGTTCAAACAAATGAGTGTTAGTTACAAGACTAGCTAAGTTATCCTAAAACTATATCTTGCACTTGTGAGACCTCATTTTGATTATGCAGTTCACTTTTGGTCACTGTACTACAGAATGGATATTGAATCCCTAGAAAGCATACACTGGAGGATGACAAGACTAATCCTGGGCATTAGAAACCTTGAGTATAGAGACAGATTAAAGCATCTGAAGTTGCACTCCCTCGAGAGATGTAGAATGGGGTAGTATATAAATGGAAGTCAGTGTTAAACAAAGGTGATATAACAAAGGTACATAAATTATCCAACCAGGAACAAATTCGTAGCAATGGTTTTAAACTAGACAATTTTAGATTTCGGTGTGAGATAGGTAAACATTGGTTTGGAAATAGCGTAGTGGATGAGTGGAACAAGTTACCAAGCTTCATTATTAACTCAAACACTCTGGATAGCTTCAAATATAGGTTGGACGGATATATGAGCGATAGGGGTTGGGTGTAAACGGGACTGCCCAGTATGGTCCAACAGGCCCCCTGCAGTTTACTCCATTCTTATGCTCTTGTGTTCTTATGTTTCTCATCATTAATGTACAGTACTTTGAAACACACACAAACTCGTCAAATAACTGCATATTCTCAAGGGATTGCAAGTAACCCAACCATTGATCTAAGTACTGAACACATGAATTATAAAACCCCTATTAGGCCAAGATTCGTTTTAGGGTAAAATTTTAAAAATTAGATTAGATGAAACATTTTTCTCATCCACTTTTTGGCCTCTTCATGTGGTAAGACATTGTTTATCTAATATGGTATAATTCCCTTCAGTTGCTGGTTCAGGCACAATATATTTCAAGAATTACCTGTATTTATGAATGATAACAGTGAAACCTAACCCTGGTAGCTCCTGTACATGTTGTGGGTTCACTCTACTGGTATTATTATTATAACAAGAAGAAGGCACTACCAGTACTGTATGTTGTATATAGATTTACAGTACGTATATCTAAACATGTAAATAACTACAGTATCTGGTGGGTTAGTAATGAAAATAGTAATTTATAAAATACAGGTACTGTACTTGTATACAGTATACAGTAATGGTAGTTTTTCATAAAATGTGCTTAGAGGAAGTATTAAGGTCTTTAATTTACTGGTACAGTACGTAGCTCATTGTGGGTGTACGTTACTGTACATAGGTTACCTGGTACGTGTCTTAAAATGAACAAATAGTTCGACCACCAATATGTGGAGCATGGATTTACGGTTTATTAAAGTACGTAACATATTATATAGTGGGTTTGTATTAGTAGTAGTAATTTATAAAATACCTGTAGTATATGGTAAAGGTGGAGCAGATGGCTAACACCAGAAGGAGTTGTTTAATTGATTTAATTTTATCCACATGTTCTTTGGATGATAGTAAGTAATAAAAATGATACGACAATGCACAAAACCAAATAGAACCTGACCTAACCAACCAAAGAATCCCACCTAATCTTACCTAAATTCCCTGGACCCCTGGCATATTAAACAAAGTACAGTACTTACTTTGATATGTGGTACCACTGAAAGCAATTTTCTTGAAGCAGCATGGTATTATTTTATGTTTTTTGTGGATATTAGAGTACTCTCAAACTGAGCGGCTCGGTTGTTGCACAGAAACACACACAGCGGAAGACAACACATGCTGACATGGCAGATTTTTTGGAGGAGTATTTACGGTAAATAACTGCCTGTAATTCCTTCACATATAAAGCACGTAGAAAAATCATTTTAGTCTCATATGATCAGTTTTCACCGTATTTTACACCGCAATTTACCTCATCCTTCATGCCCTGCTGACTACAGGGGATTTTTTAGTGTCGATAGAGAAAAACAAAATACTTGTAATTAAAATGAAAAGTTTTGTATCATTTTTGTTACTTAATATCATCCAAAGAACATCTGTAGAAAAAATGAATGCAATCGAACAACTCCTTCTAGTGTTAGCCATCTGCTCCAATATTGCGGAATATATTAATAGCTTTTCACAAAATGTTCTTAAAGGACATTAGCTAATGTCTTTAACTTATGCTCTGTGTTGCTTGGTTCATCCTGTAAACATTGTTATCGAGATTTTGGTTGTTTTATCAAACAGCATCTCTGTTGCATTGTCATTTTTATGCCAGGGTAGTTTAAAAAGGTGCAAGTACTGAACCCCTGATGTACAGTCGGCCACAGGAATAAGTATACAGTGAGTTCTACTATAACGCATGTTTTGATAACGCGAATTTGCTCTAACGCGATTTATGAATAGAGGAACGATATTTGTTTAACGGTAACGCTTGTTTGCTATAACGCGATTTTTGCTTACTATTTCTCCAATTTTGTGGTATTAACTGTGAATATGGTAAAGAAGAATATCTCCAAGAAGCGTTCTGGTGATAGAATTCCCGGTGATGATCGTAAAAGAAAGGCTATAACCCTTGAAGAGAAGCTCGATGTTATCAACCTCAAAATCACCCTTTTCCCCCATCAAGTTACATTCATATTTTTTCAAGGTAAAGTGTTACATTTACTGTATGATTTCATTATTAGATATGAATGTAACATTTATTTAGACTGTGCTATCCTTTGTGTTAGGCTAACTACTAAATGTTTTCGATTTCGAGTAATCTGCACCTAACCCTATTTTCTCCATAAGCCCTGTTATTTCTAATACGCGATTTTCTATAACACGATATTTTACAAGAACACAATTATCGCGTTATAGCAGAACTACCTGTACTGTACACACTGTAGCTGTAAGGTCCGGAAATGGTCTGGTAACGTTGAAACTCTGCATCCAGATGCATGATGAAACTCGGCCCCCACCTGTTATCTCTAACTATTTGTTTTCCTTTCTTTATTCTTCTATTTACTCCTCTTCCTTCCTTTACTAATCCAAACATCAATAAAAAAAAGAAGGGTAAGAGAAATAGTGGGGGGAGGAGGAGAGAGCTGTTTGATAAATGCAATCCTATTCGGCAACAAGTTTACTACCATTGGATACAATATATTACTTGTAATATAAACACAAGACACTAGTCAAACATTCGCAACAAATGAATTTAAACATATATGTAGGAATAAAACATAAATTACAGGTTATTTTGTAATTATGTCTGTTCTGTTCAGGACAGTGTTACCAGATATTTTGTCTCAAACACGAACTGTAGGTGTATACTTATTCTTGTGGCCGACTGTACATTTTTATGATAGGAAATGGTGACTTTGTAACCTACTGTATTTTTCCATGTACAGTACAGTATAGTACAGTACCGAAGTATCAGAAATAGAGTAACTCAAGCAGTTAGAAATGCCTGTCGTAACTATTATACAAATAAGCTCCAGTCAGCATCAGGCGATAGTAAGAAAACCTGGAATGTCATAAATTCTATTCAGAACAGGAACACTCAACCTTCGGCCCCCCACTCAGCTTTTATGATAAACGATTCAGTTATAACGGAACCCTCCCTCATTGCCAACCACTTCAATGAATATTTTATTAATGTTGGGAAAAATCTTGCAGAGAGCATCCCTGATCACCATGAGGAATTTAGAGCCTACCTGCAAAACAGACAGCAAAATGAACTATTCTTATCCCCTGTCACAGCAGATGAATTACTGGCCATCATAAAAATGTCCAAAGATGCAGCAGCAGGCGAAGACAATATACCAATGAGCATCATTAAAAAAGTGGCTCACTTATTACTACCTGTTCTCCTCCACATTTGTAACTCCTCCTTCACTAGTGGTGTCTTTCCTGATAAACTGAAAATTTTTACAGTCCACCCGGCATATAAAAAATCTGGGGACAAAGGTTTCTTCAAGAACTACCGCCCCATATCAGTCCTCCCAGCCTTGAATAAGATACTGGAAAAGCTAGCATGTAATAGACTAAATTCCTTCTGCAATGCCAATGACATCTTTACAGACTCCCAGTTTGGATTTAGAGCTAGAAGGTCGACTGAGAGTGCTCTGCTATCCTTTACTAATGATATCTTAAATTCCTATGATGACAGTCAGTTCACAGTCGGTAAATTCTTGGACCTCTCTAAAGCCTTCGATACTGTCGACCATACCATCCTACTTTCAAAGCTTGAACATTACGGTGTTAGGGGCCTGTCCCACAATTGGTTTACCTCATATCTGTCCAACAGGATGCAGTATGTATGTTATATTATGTCTGTTATAATAACCACCAATCTGACTCCTCGCCTATCTTCTATGGAGTCCCCCAAGGTTCCCAGCAACTCAGACCTCCATTCCTTGATTAGAACTATGAACACTGAATTAACTAAAGTCGGGACCTGGGTAATAGGTAATAAACTGACCCTAAATCTTGAGAAAACCCACTACACGATCTTTCACGGAAGAAAAAACTTACCTCCAGACTTGAACCCCCTGTACCTTGGAAATATAGTCCTCAAACGCGAACAAAATGCTAAATTCCTCGGAGTTATTGTTGATGAGAAACTTAACTGGAGAAACCACATACAAGCCATACACAGTAAAATCAATAAACAGTGCGGTATCATGTATCACACTCGACAGTCACTCACTCTCACAGCAATGAAAGAAATCTATCATGATCTTGTTTACCAACACCTGATACACTGTCACACACTATGGGGGGCCTCTGGCTCTTCAAAAACACAATCCCTGGTTACTGCACAAAAGAGAGTTGTACGGACAATGACCTACTTGAAAAAAACAGATCACACTGACGAAAAATTTGCTATATTGAAAATTTTAAAATTCGAAGATATTAACACTTACTGCTGTGCCCTCTTTGTTTACAAATCTATCAATCATTTGCTTCACAATAATTACTTCCAGTTCTGGAATAATCAGAGATACAACTTAAGGCACCCAGAGCTACTAAGACCACCCCCCATGCGCTCCTCTCAGTCCCAGACCTCCATAAAATATCATGGTGTGAAGGTATGGAACAACTTACCCCCACCCATCAGAGCAAAGACTACGCTCCCTTCCTTTAAATCATCTCTAAAAAAATATCTATTGTCGAAGTATTAATATTTCTTGTAACACTTACTATATTTACAGTACCTGCTTTTATTGTACCACCAAATCCATTTTATCGGAAATTATCATGTAAGTAAATAAGTAATTACCATTGCAATACACATAATTGTCAACTAGACATAATCCTGAAAGCTCTGTCCTCTTGTTCAACCTTATTACTGCACAACCCAGGTTGTACTGCTCCCCCATTATACTTATGTTTTTAAATTCCACTCTAATGTATATGTATGTACTGTATATGTGTGTGTGTGTGTGTATATATGTATGTGTATGTATATATATATGTATATATAGATATATATATGTATATATATAGGTATATATATATATATATATGTGTATATATGTATAGGTATGTGTATATGTATGTATAAATAAAAAAAATAAAAAAAATAAAAAAAAATAATAATAAAATAAATAAATATTGAAGTGATAACCGTGGTAACACAGTGCTATATACTTATTACTACCATGCTATTGTACTATTCCAGATGATACTAAATGTTTCATAATACTTCCTTGAGATAAATGTATAGTACAGTGACCCCTCATTTAACAAACACCTCGGTTAACGTAATTTCGATTAACGAACTGCCTTCCATAAGGATCTTCAATTCGGTTAACGAAAAAAAATTCGGTTAACGAAGTTCTTACGAACCGACCTCAACATGTTTTCACTTGCACTGACCAGGCAACCAGCTTTAGTATCAGTCCGCCAATACATTAATCGGTTCTAGGGCTTAAATTCCTTACTATTTTAGTAAATATCAAGAAGTTTATACTATTCAATAATTTTAAAAGTTTAATATTCAATTTTTTAGTCATTTTAACAATTATTGAGCATAATTGAAGGTAAAGTGACTAGTTTAATGCGCGGCATCCAGCCTCTTAACACAGCAAACAGGAGTTAGTCTCTCTCTGTTTTCACCTTAATATTGGGATTTGCAGTTGTCAGTTGTTAGCAACACTCTGAAATCTAAGACCTTCTTGAGGAAAAATTTCTTTACTTCATGTACAAAACAGTTGTGAAACTAGTTTGTGAATAAAGCAGTGGTCATCCAGGCCTTTTTGTTGTGGCGGTAAAAAATTAGTAAGAGGAATGTGATGTTCAAACCCGTGTAGTTTAAGGGATTACTGTAAAGCGTTTTTTATGGAAAAATATAGAACTCGACGAGAAGTGAAACATGGTCTTTGGCGACCTTAAATCCGGGTGCACTTTACTCTTCTACAGAGATGAACATTCTATTAGGCATTTTTGTCACCATAAGCCAGTCTCATCGGCATTGAACACCTGTTCAGGCTTGTACCCCTTCTCTTGAATGTGAGCTTTAAACTGAGCTGGATAAGCCTTAGCAGCATCTTGACCTGTGGAACCTGCTTCTCCAGTAATCTTGAGGTTCTGCAGACCGTATCTCTTCTTAAACTTTTTAAACCATCCTTTACTAGCTGTAAAGGATGATTTCTTTTGGCCTTGAATGTCACCACTTGCATAACTTGCACTATTAGCACCTCGCCAGGCTAGCACCACCACTTGCACTATCTCTTGAAAAACGTTCATATAGGGTCTTAGCTTTGTCCCTGATAATTAGAGATTCAACATTTACGTTACGGCAGTTCTTATCTTCAATCCAAATACTGAGAGCCTTTTCCATCTTGCTCATAACAGGGTCTCTGTGATGCAGTGTCTTGTTGGCAGCACTTGTAACACTCAGGACAATGCACTCATGGCTCTCCCTTTCTTCTTTATGTAACGAATGCTCGACTTGTTCATGACATAATGGTGACCACAGACAGCATAGCTCATGCCACTATTCAGGAGGAGTAGGGCATTTGTGAGGCATGGTGAGAGAGTAGGGGAAGGCAGAATGGATACGTAAACAACAAAGCTCTTCGCGGGCTAACAGTGAGGGCGAGACAACCATACGGCCATGAGTGGAAAATGTCACATGCGACACACGTACACAACCTCCCTTGCTCCCCAAGCAACCTGTAATGCAATCCGCGGACGGGCGAGGAATGTGATGTTCAAACCCGTGTAGTTTAAGGGATTACTGTAAAGCGTTTTTTATGGAAAAATATAGAACTCGACGAGTTTGTTGGCATGTAGTATTTTTCTTTTTCTACAGAGGTACCAAGAGTTTGGTGCTAAGATCTTCCCTAACACTCCTGGTATGAACCTTCAGGGACAATCTCTCATTAACTGGGAGGCATCAACACCCCCATTAACTACATATACCTCCACTCTGCCAAGACCCATTTTGACAACATTTACCCTGGTCCTCAAGTGATACCATCACTAAACATCCAGGTGAGTGTTAGTTTTTTTTACTGTACTGTATTGTATTCACCATTAAGTGTATCTCTGTGACTTCCCATTTTCTTGGTGGCTTAGAGATGTCAACACCTGACCATAGGCCTCTACAGGTGTCAAGCAGACATGTTATGATTCCTCCACAAATGGAATCGATTACGATTACCTTTCAAGTCCATGATTACAATTACGATTCCTTCCAAAAGTATCATGATTCCTACGATGCCAAATTAGGTAAACAAAAGAAAACAATACAATACTTAATCACTGTCATGAATGGAGTTTATTGCTAAATACTGTATAGAGAATATTAAATACGACAAAAAAAACATAACTCAACAAGTCATAAATATGAGAACATATAGCTACTGTAAATAAAAAATTGGTACCTACTTAATGAAGATTTTATTCATACGAAATCATTCCACATATTTCCATAGACCTACATTTTCGAGAATTTCTACATAGAATATCTTAATTTTTTAATTTGATGCTATAATACTTTTTTCACATTCTGTACCATAAGTTTAGGAACATAAGAATGGTGGAAACTGCAGTGGGCCTATTGGCCCTTACTAGGCAGCCCGGTTTACACCCAATTCACATCGCTCATATATCTGTCCAACCTATATTTTAAGCTACACAATGAACTCGAGTTAATGATGGTGTTTGGTAACTTGTTTCACTTATCCACTACTCTATTTCCAGACCAGTGTTTACCTATCTCATGCCTACATCTAAATTTGTCTAATTTAAAATCATTGCTACATGTTCACGCCTAGTTAGATACAGTATGTCTGCGTTTAACGTCGTCCCGCTTAACGTTGTTTTGGTACTACGTCGCTAAACTTCAGAGACCAAAAATTCGTTTAACATCCTGGTGATCCGATACTACACTATTTTGCGTCGTCACAGACTACATTTTACGGTGCATCACCCGCTCTCGTCTGGCCGCACTATGCTCTCTTGGCTTGGCGCAGAGTCTCAGTGACTCACCACCCTCCTCCTCCGCTCCCACCCTCCTCCTCCACTCCCGCCATACTCCTCCCCTCCCACCATCCTCCTCCTCTGCTTCACTATCCACCACACACTCGCTCTACCACCTCCGCCCATTGGTGAGTACCAATACAAACTTAGTTGTATATGTATGCATTATTTTCTATAGAAATTGCAATGATTTTCTGTATATGTAATGTATTTCATGGGGCAAAGGGAGGCTCAGGAACATAACTCCCGTATTTTATCTATTTCTTATGGGGAAAATTGATCCGCTTAACGTTGTTTCATATAACGTCTCATTTTTAGGATCATAACCCCAACGTTAAGCGAGGACTTATTGTAGTTTAAGTACCTTTGTTATATCACCTTTGTTTAACCCTGTCTTCCATTTATGTATCTCAATCGTATCGCTCTTCACTCTATGACTCGAGGGAGTGCAAATTCAGATGCTTTAATCTGTCTCCATACTCAAAGATCCTAATGCACGGGATTAGCCTTGTCATTCTCTTCTGAATGCTTTCTCGTGATTCGATATCCATTGTATAGTATGGTGACCAAAAGTGAACCGCATAATCAAAGTGAGGTCTCACATACGTGAGATTTAGTTTAAGGATAACCTCGCTAGTCTTGTAACTAACACTTTTGTATGAACCCAAGTACCTTGTTAATGCAATCATATTTGCATTGCTGTATTAGCTTAAGGTTCCTGCTTACCATTACTCCTAAATCTTTCTTGTAATCAGATTTTCAAATATCAACACTTCAATTTGATATCTGGTTTCTTTATTTACATCTCCTAGGGTAAGTACTTAACTTCCATATTAAATTTCTTCTGCCATTTTTCAGACTGAGAAAGTGTTTTAAGTCTTCCTGTAATTTTTCGGAGTCCACGTCAGATTTAATTACTCGCCCTTATTTTAGTGTTATCAGCAAATTTACTTAAAATGCTGTCTATGCCTATATCTATGTGATTAATTTTCTATAAGCTCTATTTCATCTATATATTACTAAATTTATATAAATTCCCAACATCATAACTATATAGACAGATTTTTGTTACATGATGTTTTTGCCCAGTCTTGCTGTTGAGTGAGAATTATTTACCAGTGTCATGGGACCTACTAATCCAAACACCGTCAGGCACCTCCCACTCTTCACACTGTGGACCAATAACATATCTTAAACAACAAAGGTGTCAAGTCAACGTAGGGATTATAAAAGTGCAAAGTCCTTTGGGAATTGGCCAACTCTGTGTCTCGTGGCATGGGTGAGGTCCTGCTTCACTCATCTTTGTTCTCCCCAATGTCAATTTGATATGATGTAATCATGAGTATGGTTCCTTTTGCTTTGGAATTGATTGTGGTTACAATTCCTTTGTTTTCCAAGACAATGAAATCCATTATAAATACAGTTCCTCAAAAAAATGTGGAATCAATTCCAATAATTACGATTACAACATAACTGGTGTCAAGTCTTCCTGGACTTTTGCCAGGTGTCTGTGTACAGAGTTATAACTTATTGTCTGAGACACTTACTGATGCTTGAACCTCGGTAAATTAAATATTCATTGCTGTTTACATGTACAGTAAAGCCTCTGATAACAACGGTTCGACCAACAACTTTTCATATTTAAGACCCCAGGTAATTTAGGACCCAATTCAATTTACGTCCTTATTTAATTCATATTTACGACCAAAATATAATAAAAATAAAATAAAATTACATTTTCATATAAATAATAACTATCTCGATATGTATTATATAAAAAAAAATACTGTAAAAAAATGAAAGAGCGCCTTGGGCAAGAAGCTGCCTGGCTCATGAGTGTTAATGTACATCGCCAGTAAACAACAGTCAGAGCTTGGCGGGCCTTTTGTTTTCACGCATCTGAACAGGAACAAGAGAAAAACTTTCTCAGGTTTCTTACAGCATTTTTGCATTCAACATGAGCAGGAGAGCAAGTGATGGTAGTGTCGTTTCAAAAGCTAATAGAAAGTGTATAAGCTTAGCCGAGAAACTAGATGTGTTTAAAACGATATGAAAAAGGTGAGAGGTCTGTGGATATTATATGGAGCAGGCAATGAACATATTTTCTGAAGTGGATCCATTAACAGAACAAAGCATTAAATTTAAATAAACGCAAATGACCTCTACATAAAGATGTATAATGAGAAAAGAAAGCAGCTGTGCAAGGTTCTTTCGACAGCTTTATTATTCAGGGGCCTAAACCATCGAATTCAGCATCATAAGCAGCTTCAACATCAACTTCATGTTCAGTAACAGTTTCAGCAACAGCTTTATGGAAAGCTACAGCTTCAGCCAGAGCTGAACCTGATGACTTCGTCATTTGAGTACAAACTCGCACAGTATTCATTGGCTCTCCATATATTTTAGACTTTACCACCATTGGTGTGTAGAATTTTTGTTTTACATTTGTAAATATTATTGAAAACATGTATGAACAGTAAATAAGTGTTGCTTTCTTTTTCATATGTAGAGAAATGACGATTTGTTTTCACATGTACGCACTTACTGTACATACGTTGTCGTTCCCAATCATCTCGCTTTATTTCTTTACCATTAGTGGTTAGCTACTTCTAGTGTTCCATTTATTAACATTAAATAACATTACTTAAAACATACATACAGGTATTAAATTTTTTTAAATTAAGTTCACTACAGCTACAACAGGGGTTTTATTTTCTTCAGTTTCTTATGTAGAACCATCGTCACTCACGAAAACAATGCCGTCTTGTCTCCTCGTGTGTGTTTTAATATTCTACGTATTATTAACGAATTGCATTGTTCATTTCACATATATAAACATTAATTCAATCAATTACATATTCAGTAATAAACAATAATGAATCTTTTGTACATATTCTTAAGATAAATGACTAGGTTTCCTTGAGTGCGCACGTATACATTGGCGTTCCACTATCAGTCTCACTTTTTCTTTAATATCAGTGCTTACGTTTACTGTACATTAAGTAACATTAATTAAAGCATACATATTTTTTTACATTAATTTTATTACAACAACAACCAGGGTCTTATTTTCTTCAGTTTCAGGTGAATAAATAATAATAATAATAATAATTAACGGTTTATTGAAAGAGCTTGGCAGCCAGAAGGCTGAAAATATACAGGTACATATTTGGGGAATGGGTTACGAATTACAAATAATATACAAGTAACATAAGTGACACAAATAAGACATATAATAACTAGATGGGGAAAAGCTCAAACTACAGTTCATTTCAACATAGTGACAGTGTAAGGAGCAGTGTTTACTGGGAGTGAATACACTGATTTATTACAAGTTATTGATAATCTTTACAATGGTTGGGACTGGGCTGTTCTTATAGCGATCAGTTCGTGCACGTATGGGCTGGATGCGGTTGTGGTGTCGAACAGCAATTCTCGGACAAGGGATCTCAGGTGGTAGTAGGAGCCGGTGTCGGGGATGGTGTAGAAGCTTCTTACCAAATTTGCAGATGAGGTCGTGGTGATGGTCAGTGAGAGTCGAAAGGGTCAGTGTGTTGAGCGCTTCTTGATATGTGGAGTAGGAAGGGGAGAGAATAATCTTGCATGCCCTCTTTTGCACTTTTTCTAGGTGTTTACGTTGTGTGGCATTTAGGGAGGAAGACCAGGTGGGGGAGGCATAGGTGAGCTTGGGAAGTATGAATGTTGTGTAAACACTGAGGAGCTCGTGTGCAGGAACTCCGAGGGACTTGAGTCGGCGGAGGAGGTGGAGGCGGAAACTGGAGGATTTGACAACTTCACTGACGTGTGGTTTCCAATTTAGTTTGTTGTCTATGGTGACGCCGAGGAGCTTCGTGGAATCTACAACCTGGAGTGTGTTGGGACCTAGAGTAATGGAAGGAGGTGGGACAATGTCGGAGGAGAGGTTGATGTGCATAACCATGGTCTTGGTATGGTTGATGGTGACATGGTTGTTGGTGGCCCAGTTTTGGAGACTGTTCAATAAATCCTGA